TAAACAAAAAAAAAATAGTGTCCATATTGAAATTCAGGATTTTATTTGATTCAATTCTACTTTTTTTTTTGCATAGAATTGATTTTAATACTCTTATTGAATTGTGGTGTTGTGGAAATGATTTTCAGATTCCATTTCGCATCATTCGTTTTTGAAAATATTTTATTGATTTTTTTTCTATTCGATTCGTTTTTTATTTTTCTGTTTTGTGAATAATAATAGTCAATTCAACATTCTCGGTAGCCACTCCTTTATTTACCAATTGTGCTACATCACGATCGTATGTTGATCCACATACATATGAAGATCCAAATCAAGCGGTCAAAGAATTTACAAAAGAAATCGATGCTTCACAAATAACTATTGAAGCTATTATTGGTGGAGGTGAATTTGGTGATGTTTGCCGTGGAAAGCTAAAAATACCCGGAAAATCTGAAGTTACTGTTGCGATTAAAACATTGAAACCGACCACTGCCGAAAAACCTCGATTAGATTTTCTTACTGAAGCTTCAATTATGGGCCAATTTGATCATTCGAATGTCATCTATTTACAAGGCGTTGTAACGAAAACAAATCCAATAATGATTATTACCGAATATATGGAACATGGATCATTGGATGCATTTCTAAGAGTAAGTTTTATTTTGTTTTCAGTTTCGTATCAAATTGTTTGTGTTTTTTCAATAACATAAAAAAAAACCTAATATTCATTCAAATTATTGCTCATTCAGATCAATATCATATTGTGATTCTAATTTATCATAGTTTTTGCTTTTTTTCCATATTCTATAAAATTATAATATTTTTTGACTTTTTTTTCAAAAAAAATAATATATAAACTAAACGATCGTTCTATAATTTATGAACTCAATTTAATATATTTATGCCCTCGATCACAATCAATGTTGTTTTTTTTCTATTCTCGAGATACAACATAATACATTTACATCACATCGAGTTTTTGGACTAAAAGAAAATATTTTCTTTTTTTTTAAACAAATTTTATTGCTTTTATAGAACTTGATCGTGAAGAAAAACTATCATTGCAGGCAATACTATAGATTTGACGAAACATAAACACCACATACAACACTACAAATACATTACATTACAATAGAATTTCGATTCTAGAACCTGACTTCGTGATAGCGATGATGATTATGATGATCGTCAACAATAATACACATAAGTATTCTACAAAAAAAAAGAAATTCTTTCAAATTCACGGATCGCTCCCATAGGTTTGAATCGCACGAATCCCTGAACCCAAGATTCAAGATCGGCATTCTTAATGTTTCGATTCTTTCTTTCTCTCTCTCTCTCTAGACTTTATATATTATGTTGAACAAAAAGTGGGAGAGAGAGAGAGAGAGACACATACACATACACAAACCAAAGGACAATAACATGACGAATTCCGATCAAATGCCATTAATGTTTTTTTTTCGTCATTTTTTGGCTTGATGAATCTGCGCATCGAATATCGAATATAATCGTATCATTTTCGATTTTTTTAACCCAATGTACGGGATTTCCGACAAAATGCTTTCATTCCATAAATTGCTATTATAAAATTAAAGAATAATATTTACCTTCATTTGTTATTCAACATTAATTTTCATTAATTATTAATAAAAAAAATAGTTCACCTGGTTAATTCCTTATTGGATCATTAGCTCAATTGTGTTATACACTTATACCCACAACATGATGACATACAGAATTTTTTTTTCTATCCATTTCGAGAATTATTATAATGAGCCATTATTCTTAATGTGATATATATCAGAAATTTTTTCACATTCAGTATGTGCTGGTTTTTTTCTATCAACATTATCTATTTTTTTAGAGCTACTATAATCGAATATTTCTATTCATATGAATTTCATTCATTATTTGTATTGAGCCTAAAAATAGAAAAAAAAGAGAGTTAATCACTTGTTTAATATTATGCAAACAATGAATATATGTGTGTCTATGAATCGACAATTATCCATTTTGTCCATTCATGCACACCTTTATCATATTCAAACATATACAAACAAACGAAATGAAAAAAAAATCATCGCCAAAAACTGGTTATGAATTTTTCGTTTTGTAATGAAATAAAAATCGAACTAGATATAATCTTTTCTTCTGCATTTCAATGAAAAATATGATTTATTGCTGCTTGAAAAACATAAGGGAACAAAATTTTCGAAAAAAAAATCAATTTACAGCTAAAGAAATTTATTCTAATAATTGTTTGATGTTCAATTTTTTTCATTTTCATCATTTGTACAGGCAAACGAAGGAAAATTCACCATATTACAATTGATTGGCATGTTACGGGGAATCGCATCTGGTATGGAATATTTATCCACAATGAATTATGTTCATAGGGTATGTGTTTAGAGCGATCAAAGTTTTATGGAATGATGATTAATTTTTTTACATTTAAAAAAAAACTTTACGTACAAAATAGGATTTGGCCGCACGAAATGTTCTTGTAAATTCATCATTTGTTTGTAAAATTGCCGATTTCGGTCTTTCACGAGAGATTGAAAGTGCTACCGAAGGAGCTTATACCACAAGAGTATGTTTTTTTATTCTTATTTCATTTTTTGATTTCGGAGAATAATAAATTGAATTTTTTTTTATTGACAGGGTGGTAAAATACCAGTCAGATGGACAGCTCCCGAAGCGATCGCTTTTCGTAAATTTACATCAGCATCAGATGTATGGAGTTTTGGTATCGTTTGTTGGGAAGTAATGTCTTATGGTGAGCGACCATATTGGAATTGGTCTAATCAAGATGTTATCAAAAGTATTGAAAAAGGCTATCGGCTTCCTCCGCCAATTGTATGTTGAAAAATTTGTTTTACCGATGACAAGTTATCTAACAACTACTTATTTTATTCATTTAGGATTGTCCGGATGCTGTCTATCAATTAATGTTAGAATCTTGGCAAAAAGATCGTTCTAATCGTCCAACATTTACACAAATTGTTAAAACATTGGACAAACTGGCCAAATGTCCGGAGAATCTGATGAAGTTAGCGCAGCAAATGACAAGGTATTTTCATTTATTTATAATCATAATTATGAGAAAAATTTTAATGATTCATTTTTTTACATATAAAACAGAGTGGATCCATTCATGGAGCAAACTTCCATACCCGATGTGATACAATTTAAATCATTTTATGAATGGTTGGCAAGCATTAAAATGTCTCGATATCAGATCAATTTTGAACATGCTGGCATCAATAGTCTACCTGCTGTAGCTAGATTAAGCCCACAGGATTTATTGGCCATCGGTATTGATATTCCAAGTCATCAGAAAAAAATAATGAATAGTATCTATTCATTACGTGCTCAAAATAGTATTGGTTCACCGGAAGGTTTTCTTGTTTGACAAACGAATATTTAGTTTAAAATATTGTAACAAACAACAATAATTCAGAACTTCAAATACGAAACCCAAACAATTCAAACGCCAATTACAATTGTGATTTTTTTTTCTCTCATTCATTTTTCTTTTATTTCTGTTATAATATACATTGAATTGATATGAAACATAAACTCATCATCATTTCGTTTTTTTTTCTTGAAACAACAATCATTTGTCATATCTGGAATATAGAATATTTTTCCATAGAATTACTAATATCTCAGTAAATTCTTGATAATGTCAAGTCTGTAGAATTCATCAATCTTTTGCTTATTATTATTGTTTGTTATCCATTTAATTTTGAATGTTCTCATATTTATTTTTTTTCTCGTTTTTTTTCTCTTATTGTATCAAATACTTTTGTAATATACAAAGGAAGAAGATTTTGTTTGTAGTATTGTAATTTTGTACATAATAATAATAATAATTTGATTTCTGTTTACGATTATAATAATTTTTGGCTGTAAAATAAATCAATCATTTAATGATAATTGTAATTTTGGAAAAGAAATAAAAAAAACCAAGTTAAACATTAAAAAATGAAAATGCATAAATATGGTTTTAACTTAATTCGATGGCAAAAGATGGCGTCACATTTAGTTCAAGAATAATTTAAATTTTTTAAAAAGAAATTAATTATATTCAGAAATAAGTGGCTCAACAAGTTATTGCCTAAATTATTATCATGGAGGCCATTTTCAAACTTGATTGTTTTTTTTTTGTATTCCACTATACAGATAAATATATTCTCTTGAATCACTGGATGGCGGCAAATTCAAAGGTTTCTTGTTTTAAAAAAATGTTTTGCTATCCTCTTCAAGGATTCATCGATATTAACAGTAGAGTGAGAGAGAGGATATCATTACGATGAAAAAGAGAAAAAAAAGCTATCGAACAAGTTACAAGGGATAGAAACATGAAGAATGAAAGATGAGAGAAAGAGAAAGAAGGCAGTTTTAATTTGCCCACATAACCAACCGACCGATCGACCATACAGACAACCCCAAACCATTATACAAACATACACACACATCCGAACATTTTTGATCATCAGATCTTGTGAAAATCATCTGTTGAATGTATGCTACTTCGAAAACATTTTTTTTGGCTTCAAATTTCGACACTTTCGCTGTTTAACAACAACAACAACAATAGTAAGAATAATAACGACCACGACGAAACTGATCATCATCATCATCACAACAAACCAAATGATGATGGCCACCGCTCAAATTCAATAACACTTGTATCATATGGTTTGATCATTCTTCAATGATTATGGTCATTATATTTGATTATTAAATTCCATTTTTATTTTCGATTGTCAGTAGCCTTAAAATATCTTAACATTGAAATGTGATTCTTGTTCATTGTTTTATTTGTGTTTTTTTCCATTATGGTGATGAATTCAAACGAATAATTAAAATTTTTTTGCCTTGATGATGATGAATATAATATAAATGTTTGATCAACCGGGACGTCGTTTATAATAACCAACAACACTGAAAATTCATATGCCAACACCATTTTCAATTTATATGCTAAAATTGGAATAAACAACAAAAAAAATAAACTCCTTTTTTTTCCTCGAATGTATTCGTTTCGAAATTTTTTTGGGGCAAAAATGTCAATATTTAACCGGAACATTTTTGCCCAATTTTAGTCAACGAACAAAAAAAAATGATAATGATAAAAAAAATTCGTTTCTCTCCAAATGCATGTTTGTACAATGCTCGTTTGTTGTCATTTTTTTCCCGTAAACGAAATGCATGATCAAATCAATCATCGATCATCATTGCCAAAACGACGACAACAACAACAACAAAAAAATTACATAAAATTTTTTTGCCATTATAATAGTCATCGATGATGATCATCATTCATTTGGATTCAATCGTATTCAATTTCCATTTGAGAATTATATACAAACTAATTTTTTTTACTTCACTTCTCTATCTCTGGTAAGTAACAATTTGTTTCATTGATTCATTGTACCAGATGAATGAAATTTTTGTTTACCAAATGGAATAACAATTTGATTGAAAATCATAATGATATCGGTTTGGTGGGTCACCATTCAACCATTTCATTGCAATGATATGTTTCGCATGTTGCACACACACACACTAACAAACAAATGTCATGGTTAGATGACATTCGGTATTAATTTTTCGTTAGTTGTTATCTTGTTTGTTTCCAGTTCTATCTCACACACTAATCAATGCCAGATGCTCTTCATTTTTTATTACTTTTATTACTGATTCTTCATTCATATATTGTCATTAGATTAGTTGATTTTTCGTTTAGTGACCCACACATGTTATCTTTTTTTTCTTTCTGATCTGAAATGGCACGTGTTGTTTTAGTCCAAAAAAATAAAGTCACGTTCCAAATCGTTGGCCAAAACTAATTGATATGTGTGTTTTGGACAATGTTGAATGCTGTATGTTATTCTAAACATATGTATTTACTGTGCTTGTTTGGTCGCATCGTTCAAAATTACAAAAAAAAATTCCAAGGCAAATTAAAAATTCTGAAAAATATGTGTGTGTGTTTTTGTTTTTTCCAATTCGAAATGAAGTTTGTGTTCATTTTTGTATCCACGATCGATTTGTTAATCTAATCACACACACACACACACACACACAAACTTCTGATCATTGATCCTATCGTTCACTTCATAACAGATTTGTAATTTATTTTCTAGCACTTTTTTTTCGTTATTATTTTTCTAATTATCTAAAACTGTAAATCGTGAATTCTTCCATGAACAAATTGAATTAAAAAACAGTTTTTCATTGTTTATGTGTGTGTGTGTTTTAATATCAAGTTCAAATGATGTTTAGTTTTAATGTTTTTCATGTTATTTTTTTTCATATAAAATAGATCGATCAAAAGGTATTCAATCATCTTTGCATCGATTTCTATCTCTTTATTATCCATTGTATCTTTTATAGATTATATTGATGATTATTATTATTACACTGTAAATATAAATATCTTTGTTATACTGTCATTCATATTATTTTCTATAACACAGACACAGTTATCTCTTAATCACCCGTATGTTGATCACTCTTCATTGATCTACCTTCAATGACAGTTCAATGTACTTAATCATCATTTTGTTTGTTTATTTGAAAAGACATTGTCCATTTTAGTTAGCTATATCTAATCACACAAATAACAATAACAACAACAACGGATACAAAATACATATAGTTATTGTCGTCAATGTTTAACTGTTGTTGTTGTTATTGTTTACTATTATATAACGGCTAGCCAACGATTTTCACATCAATACGAATTATGTCAATTATTTGATTGATGGAAATAGCGAATCGATGTGTGTGTGTATGTGTACTTCATCTCTACACAACAATCGATTCATTTCATGATCTATTCATCATCATCATTTTTTCCATTATTTGACGATGATTACCATTTGGCATTATCCACATCTATTTCATTTATCGCTGATCGAACTGATCGAAAGAAATAATCAAATTTTTTTTCTGTTGGCATTCTTTTATGTTCTCTTTTGTTTCTTATTCATACATTTTTTTTTGGATATTCACGATTTTTCCAATCATTTGACGAACTTGAATTGATTTAAATCAAAATTGCCGAAAATCGATATTTATTCAAATTATATGATTATTATGATAATATTTGAATAAGTTTATTATCATTTTATAAAGAAAAAAATTGGAATTTTGTTTCGTTATTTTTCATTCAAAATGGATATAAAAAAATTTGTCATTCATTCAGTTTTTTTTTCACATCCTGTTATATGGTGTCTGAACACATCATCATCATCATCACTAACATCAACCTGTGAATGGCCTCATTTTTATTTTTGACTTGTTGGTATTTAAAATATGTTTAAATTTTGTTGTTGTTCGTTTGATTTTATCCTTGTTTCCACTGTTGATTTTTATCATTTCAATGATAAAAAATTTCTTCTTCTTCTTCTGAACTTTTGATGAATTAACACAGGTAGCAAATATTAATTTACTCAATACATGAGAAGAAAAAATGGAAGAAACATCATTCGTATTATTATTATTGCTCCAGACCATATACACAGAGAGATGATCACAATGTTGTTGTTGTTGTTGATAGATTAGAATCAGAAAATGAAATTTTTTTTTCAATTACAATAGATTTGTGGATTTTCACTTTCCAAGAATAGAATTTCAAAATCGTATTTCATTTTTTTTCTTGTTGTTGTTGTTGTTCATATCAACCATAATTTTTCTTATTTGAATAATAATCATTTTTTCAAAAAAAAATCATTCGACCGAACAACATTTTCCGAATCACATTTGTTCAAATTTATTTATTTACATTTAATCTGTTATTACATTTGTTGTTTGTGTGTTTTTTTTTTCATTATTCTCTTCATACATTAGGACTTGGTAATAATATTCATCATCATGATAATTTTGGAACTTGAAATGAAGAAAACAAACAAAAATTTCCTTATATAATCCATATTTGCAATTCATTTTTTGTTTTGTTTCTTTCGTTTTTCGTATACGACCAAAAATAATATAAATATAATGTCATTCAACTATACCTTTGTCACGATTTCCTTGTATTTGTGAATATTTTTTTTTGTTGTTAAATTTTCATACTTCTTTTCGACAAATCATCTTCATTATTCACTACATTGTTAATAATAAACAACAAACAAATAGAATTTTATTCGTGTAAAGTGTATAGTTTTTTTGTATGTACGGATTATTATTATTTTAATAATGTTACGTAAACTTAAATAATGACTTATATTGAACATCAGCATCAACAACAACAATCATCAATAATGGCCATTATTAGGTCATCAATGAACATAAGTCCGAATGAATTCTATGATTCAGCTATCGAATTATTGGCAGATGATTATTCACCATCAACTAGTTATTGTGAACCATATTTATCCACATCATTATCAACTAAAAAACATCCGTATAATCATCATCATCATCATCAATCCAATAATTGTGCTGTAGTGACATCATCATCAGCCATCAATCGATTGACCAATTTAGTCTATACGAATTCAAATAGCCAATCATCGAACAACACGTTAGTTTTCAATCGATTGAATCAAACAAAATTTAATGATAATGATTCGAAAACAAACCCACAACCAGTTTCGTTTGATCAACAACAACAAATCGATTCATCAGTATCGACACTTAAATCATTTCCTAAGTCATCAACATTATCGATGGAAATCATTTCATCAAGACAAAAATCATCGCAATCAGTTATAAGTAATAATAATCGTACGTTAACTATGATGAATACTAAACCAAAATCAACGATCGTTGTTAACTCATCTGATAATGGAAATTATTCTCAATCATCTTTATCAACAGCGATCAATACATCATATGTAGATAACAACAGAGAAAACCGAATTTATTCGGTTTCACAATATCAACATCGTCAACCGCAACAACAAATCAACACGAATATCAAGAAGCAGATTACTATTCAACAACAACCGCCATCATCAATATCATCATCAACAACATCAGGATCACCATTACGATCTTCACGAAGTTTTACGGCCAGCTATTGCTCACGGCCAAACGTGACATGTAAGTCTTCTTCTCATTATTTTTCATATCCTTCAATATGTTAGCATTATTATTTTCTGGTGCATCTTTTTGATAAATGAATTTCTTACCATGTAAAAAAAATATTGATCCGGTATATTATGTACGGTAATGATAACTTTTTTTCTCAATTCGATTAAATTCTTTATCATGGCAATAATTTATTTTTCGTTTTCTTCATATTCTTATGATCGTTATCATCATCCTGTAGGAAAGGAATCTTTTGAAATTTTTTTGGCCACCAAAAAAAAATCACTCTGTCAAATTAAATTTAGTTTAAACAAGTTCTATTTATCTAGTGGAAATAGTTTTGATAGGGATAATTTTCAACACATTTTTTTTCTTTGGGCATTCTTAAGCCATAATTTTTTTTGTATCAATAAATCGTTTTTTTTACAGGTCATATCTATCTCATGATGACCATCATCATCAACAACAACTTGGTGAAAGTTGGTCATTATTATGTATATTTAAAAGCAACAAAAACAACAACAAAATCTTATAATTGTTACTTGTCATGGTTTTGTTGTTGTTTTTTGTTTGCTTGATGAACATTTTATTAAATAATTGAATAATGAGAGAGGATTTCACATAATTATTTTTTCCTATAGAAAAAAATTTTTAAAACAAAAAAGAAATTTTCATTTCCATTTTTTTTCAATGATCAAAATCATCATCATCATCATCATTCACATGAACATATTATTCCAAATAAGTGTGGCTCTATTCATTCATTCATTCATTAATTTTATTATTTCATTCAACTAAAATAAAAACAAGTATAATATATTATATAACACTAAACATCATAACAGTCTAATGAATGTATCAATCTAAAAATAACAATCTTCATAACTAACTAAATGGATAATAAATAAAATATACTATAGATGCTATTTAACCTAGGCTTAGTTTTTTTTTGAGTACGGTTGGTTGGTTGGTTGGTTGAACCATTCAACAACAACTTGTTGTAACAAACTTGTTCGGGTTAATTTTTTTTTCTTCATTATTTTGTCTATTTTGCTGTGAAAAAAATGAAATTTTTTGAAATTAAAAGACATCAATGTATATTGTGTTTAGTAAATTAATCAAAGGCTAGATAGATAGATAGAATAGATAGAGATAAAGAGTACATCATGATAATTATGTTGATGATAATGATAATGATGATTATAATCATTATTATTATAAACAATTAACATGATTTAATCACAAACAAAATAGTGAATGTTGGTGGTTTGACACTACTTGTGATTATAATATTCATCGTGTGTATGGCAAGGGTTAATATTAGTCTAATAAATTTTCTTTCCTTTTTGCCCTTTCTATACTCTTTCTCTCCGTCAAATTGTTTCGTTTTTATCCTGTCTATTAAATTTCTATAACTTTAATAATTGATTGAATCCTGATGATCATTATTATGATAATGATCATCATCATCATCATCATGTTGTCGATGAAAAAAAAAATATTAATTTTTTCCCCTCATTTAATGATAATAGGCTGTCTTTGTATGTCTTTATGATATAATATGGCTAAGGATATGTAACCGACATGTCTCGTGTCAGCGAATCCAGTGATGAATGGTTTTTTCATTCATCATTAAAATGAATGTTTTTTTGGATGATGTTAAAATACAATTTTCAATGTGTGTTCCAATTTTTCAATTCAATATATTATATTTATGCCGGATCCTTTTTTTCCCTTTTTCATTTTTTGTTTTGTTTTGTTTTTGTTTAACATACGGAAACAATTTCATCATCGTTTTGCAAGGAATTTCCATTTTTCAAACAAAACAAAAAATCAGACATTTTAATATTATTTGAAAAAAAATATCCTTAATGACCGAATTTCATAAACTTTTCGGGATAATTTTTTGTCCTCCTTCTTTTCTAAAATCTCTCTTTTTCAAAAAATCAAATTTTATGATCATGGATCCGATCAGCTTTTTTTTATCGGTTCCATTTTTTTTCTGTGGTTGATTTTAATATCTTCACATTGATTTGACCGTGATTCTACATTATTTATTTATTCATTTTTTTTTTGGTTCATTTTGAATAATTGAATCCATAATTAAAACATTCGATTGATTTTTTTTATGTGTTTTGTTTGAGTGATTTTTGTTATTATTATCTTTGGAAATACCGATTAATGATAAAGTTTTTTTTCTTCTTCTATGATCTTCTTTCCATAATAAATAAATCCTTTGCTATTTCTAATTTTAATGTGTTTTGTTCAAATTTCATTATTATCGTTGTTAAATTGACTATGATGATGATGGTGGTGCATCATAAATTGCCAAAGATAATGGAAAACATAAAAACTTTCTTTTTGTTAACAACATTAACGAAGATATTGTTCCAAAGTTTAAGGTGTTGTTGTTGTTGTTATTAAACAGTATAATATTAAATTTTTTCCCTATCGCTCATCATCAACATCAAAAACAACATCGATTCGATTCAATTATTATGGTCAAATGAAAAACAATATTTTTTTTCCATTTCTTTCGCTCACTCTTGTTTCCATGTGAATGAAAGATGAATTTTTTTCTTTTTGATGCATCTGTCCAATATTTTGTTTCGGCACACTGTGTTTTTTTTTCATATTGAATTCGATTGATTGACCTCTCTGTGCATATTTTTTTTTTGTTTGTTTGAAATCAAATCAAACTTAGGCCATTGGCAATCACCATCAATCGACATTGGCCAACAAAGAATGTGAAAAGATGCCAAATAATAATAAATTATTTTTCTTTTCAAAATACATCTTAATAATAAATTCTCTTGTAACGAATCGATTTGTTTTCTTTTAATTTTAAATTTTATTAGCCATCTATAAATTATGACACCTACATACAAACACACACATAAATCACATTTATATTGGGTGCAACATTTTTGATATCTTATTTTTGAAATATGTTTTTGTTTTCTTGTTGTTGTTGTTGGAAAATAATATATCAAGATTCGATTCGATCCTGTTTCTATAAATAACAATCATTTTTTTTCTATTCATATTTTTTCATTTAATATAAAAATTTTTTTTCATTACATAGCACAATGATTACATGATTTTTACAATTACAATTTTTTTTTTCATTTTCCCACCATTTCATTTCAATTTCAAAAAACTTTTTCTTATTTATTCTTAATTTAATTACTTTTTTTTGTATGTTTAATTGCCTTTATTATCATCATCAGCATCATCTTAATCATCATCATCAAACGGTAGTTAGATTTATGTATATGTGAGGAACTAATTTCAAATTTAACATACAAAATATTACAATAAAAATCACAATGTTTATCATGTCATAAAGATAAGCTACAATTAATTTTGAATTTATTTCAACTATGGTTTTCAAATGAAGACACTTTACACTTGTTATCCAACATGATCATGTTAAAAAGAAAGAAAATTACAACAATTCAAAGTTTTTTTTTCACGTTCCAAATGGAACGTAATTGTTCAAATTGCATTTCGGATGGAATCACCATAATAAGATGTTGACAATGATTTCTTCAACAGAAAAAAAAACATTCTTTTATGCAGTTGATGATTTCAAACGATCAAATAGCTGATGATTGGGTGAAAAAAATATGATACAATTTTTTTTTCTTTTATTCAATTCAAATCATCATCCCAACAACAATATAATGATGATGATGATGATGAACCAGGTAAACCTAAAAAAGTCTTATGGTAATTTAATGTTGATGTTCATCATCATCATCATCATTGAATATATTAAAATATATACACAATTTCAATGTGCACACGGGTTACATTCCACATTTGACATGTTCATTGGCCCAGTTTCATTTTTTCATTTTTTTCTGCATTCATTTATTCAACACACACACACAAATATGACAATGGTCCCTGATGATGATGATGATGGTGATGATCGGTGATGCGATGGTTCTCCACCTTCAAAGTTTTTTCGTTGTTGTTGATTCACAATGATTTAAAAAAGAAAAATTTGGTTGTTCTACATATTTTTTTTTTGCTGTTGTGTTCATACTACTATGATAAAAATATTTTCTTTCCGATAATACATGATTTGATGACGATTGTTTTGACCCATAATTTTTTTTGTTTCTCCTCAATTGATTTTTGGGATATCCGTCATATTGTGTGGATATAGGGGGAAAAGAAAAAAGTATAGGTTTCATTTACCTTATTTTTTTTGTTTGTTTGACATCATCAGGGCCGCTATCACCATGAGCATTGAGAAGAATATCAATCTACCTTATTCGGTCATTTGATGATAATGATAATTATGTTCATGATGATGATATAGTCAATCATAGTTATGATTCCGAATCAAACAATCTTTGAATGAAGGGGAAAAATTGATTTTGTTTTTTTTTTGACAACATGAATAGCTGAAATTATCTCGTAAAAACTGTTCTGATTATATATTCAAATATCAATCAATAACTGTAACAATCATCAAAAGTAAACATTTTTTTTCATAGTTTATTTGTTTGCATTATTCAAGAAGAAAAAGAAACAGTTTTGACATGATGACCGAATAAAGGGCGAATTTATTTTTTTTTATTTCTTTAAACGGAGTGAAAAAAAATTGAAATTTAAATCGCAAATTATAGTCAATACCAATGAATCGGTTGAACAACTTTTTGGTTGAAGTTTTTGTTTTCCTATTGACTATTTTATTATAAATATTCTTTTCATTTCCAAAAAAAAATCGTATACACCTGTTGAATGACACTTGTAATGTATGTCATATGACCACCACCACCATCATTATTATTATTATTATCATCAGAATTGCTATTCGTTTGCTCGGTCGGTCGATTACAAACAATGTTTGTTTGTGTGTATGTACAATTCGTTAATCTAAATAAAGGACAATTTTTTTTTGTTTTCCTAATAAGCCGGAACTGGCTTATAACATTTTCTATATCGTCCTGTTATTTTTTTTTTATATTCACTCTGTTATTACAATTCAGATTTTAATTCATATCAAATAGCTGTATTTTTTGGTTGATTTCGAAGCTCAAAAGATAAAATTACAATTCTTTCTTTTCATTCAATGCACATTTATAGTTGTTGTCATTTCAATCTCTCTCTGTGTGTGTATATGTTTCTATATATTTTCAAATAATTTTCATTTCCAATTACATGATCAACGTTTAATTTTCAATTTTGTTTTTTTTAATGGCAACAAAATTGTTGTTGTCATTTTTAACCTGAAGCAAATTTTCTGATAAACATTTTCTGATTTCTGTTTTTTTTCTAACCGTTATATATTTCAATTTTAACAAAAAGGAAAGAAAGAAAAGTATATAACATGTGAATCCTATTCATCCTGCCATCGTCAAATCAAACCATCAGTTGTTGATTAGTTTTTTTTTCGCACACACACATATATATAATTTTTTTTTAATCAAACGAAATTAATTTCATCATGCTATTGCTACTGTTCATTGAATTTTTCTTCAACAAAAAAAAAATTGTTGATTGCTAAAATTTACACACGCAGATGAGATCTTTACAAGGAAGATCCTGATCGGATTTTCTTTTTTATTCATCATCATCATCATCATTCATCATTCACCACAATGTCGTTCTATTCAATACATACACAACAGACATCAATCTTACTATCAACTACTGGATCATACCAAAAAAATGATTGCCACTTGTATGAAAATATTTCCGTTTTTTTTTGTTGATGATGCTGTTATCGATTTTGATGATGATGATGAGGATATGGATATCTTCCTATTTTAAGAAAGAAAAATGCATTTACTTTTTTTCGGGTAAAAAAAGAAACTCATTTTTTTTTTGTTGTTCCATAGATTTAATGTTGCTAAATATTTATTGTTATATGGACAAAAAAAATTGTTTAATGATTAAGAAAAATATTCATTTTGACTAATAATGTTTGAAATTTACTTATAATCGATGATGATAGAAATCGGTTCATCATAACAATCAATTGTATTCATTCATTTGGACATTGTATTTTTTCTTTTCCTGTTGATAATATTGTTACCTAAATAATTTCCGAATGATGGTTGTTTTTTTTGGCTTTGCTTTTAATTCATCATTCAAGTTTGTGTATTTTATATTAATAACGTTAATCGAAAATGGGGGGTGAAAAAAAAGGAGTGATGATAATGATGAACATGAACAAGAACAAGGAAAAAATAAAACAAGATAGAATAGATCTTTGCATCGTAATTCATAATCATCACATCGTAACATCCATTCGATTCGAGTGTCGAATAAAATTAGATTGACCGACTTGAATGGGGAAAAAAAGTTGTTATAACCTGCTTTAACATGTGTGTGTGTGTGTATGATTCGTAAACAATTAATGATTGTTAGATGAAACAGGTGGATTTTTGTTAATGTTTAGTTTTAAAGATTCATTTTTTTTTCTTCGTTTGATGATGATGGTGATGATCAATATTATCATTCCATATATATAACTTGATGAAACAATCGTTTACAATAAATGAAATGGTGATAATCGACATATGAAAAAAAATAAGAACGAAACAAACATGATCGACTTGATTATATCCATGGTTTAGATAATCCATTAATAAAAACTGTAAAAAAAATTTACTGAAATGAACCTTAGCATTGAAATATGCGATTATATAAATAGGCCTTATATGATAGTGATTAACATGATTATGCAATTTTTTCATTTCATTTCAAACAAGCTTAAAGTTGAATAACGATAATAACTATCCGTTTGATCAATAGTGATTCAATGATGTTGTTGAATTAGGTTTGAATGAGTCGGTGGTTTTTTTCCGTTCCCTAATGTATATCCGTACAAAATTTTCTGATTATCGAAACTATAGTGTATAATGATCCATGTAGGATTTTTTGTTGTTGTTGTTGCGGAAAATGCTATTTTAAGCACATCGGACATTAAGAACAAAAAAAATGGACAAGGCTTGAATTGGAGATTTACCTTTCGTTCTTTGCCATAGATTTTGGAGTTAGTTCTTGATTGTGTGTTTTTGTTTGTGTGTGTGAGAGAGAGGCTTACCTTTATTTATTTTTCACGTAATATTCATTCATTCGCCTTTTTTTCCAGCCTGATTGTTTGATTTATTAGTCGAACTGACCTTGTCTTTTTTCATCATCATCATCATATGGTATTGTCTTGTTGGCGTATTGGTGGTGTTGTTCGACCACATTTCACCGAGCATCACCTGAATCAATTCTTGTTCTCTCTCATCTTCATCATCATCTTATCATCATCATTTTTTTCTTCTCACACCTCCCTTCTCAGAGAAAAAATGACATGGCTTCATATTTTTCGGCCATATTTGTCCATTATGTATTTACCCCAAAACCAAAAATCTTTTATTTTTTGTTGTTGTTGCTGAATCTTTTATTTTCTTCATCATCGAATCATACATTATCATCATCATCATCATCATCATTGGTCTAACCAACAAAAGAAAGAAAAACTTTCGTCGATGGTACTTGATGATCAAAATCATCGATAAGAGAATGTAGCATACAAACAATCGAAACGAAAAAAAACGATGATGATGATGATGAACAAATCAATTCTTTGAATCAATATATTTGTTACCTATTCTCTTTATCATCCATAAAACTATATACAGAAACACAATAGATCAATATTGTCGAATATATTAATGATGTTCGATGAACATTAACTGATTTTTGATAGTAACAGTGGTAGTTTATAATGATGATGATGATGATGAGGGATGATATCGATTTTAAGATTTTTTTACCTGTCGTTTTGAATCTTTATAAAATTCTGACAATTTTTTTTCTACTCGCAATATTCAAACTCATATAGTATATTGCTGTTGTCATTATTGATGATGATAAAATCGTTTTTTCTTTTCTTTTTTCTGTTCTTTCTTAATGATACTTTGAGACAATAAGTTGTTAGTTTGTCTGTATGTGTGTGGCCACTTGCTTTACTTTTGAGTGATGATGATGTCTGTTTTCTTGGAACATCTTTTTCAGTTTCGTTTTTTTTCCTTTTGAATATAATGGTGGATATTTTTCTTTTTCTTTTTTTTACAAACATATATGTAATAGCTCAATTTAAAGTGATAGTTTTAAAATTATGATGATGATTGTTGTCGACTACCAAGTTGTTCATATTGATGTACATTATATACATCAATTAGGAATCAAATCCTTTTTATAACTGTAGATAGCCAATTGTTTTATCTATCAAATAGATAATGGTTTTGTTTTTTTGGAAACGAAAATCTAAATTTTTGTTTTGTTTTGTATTTTTTTACCGGAAAAAACGACCACCATCATCATTATCATAATCCAAAAATAAGGTTCATTTTTTCCTCAAATTTTTATGATGTTTATATTTTGATCATTTTATGATTGATAATGATGATGTATTTTTTCATTGTTTTCTACCACTTTTTATTTCACTTTATCAGATAAACATTTAAATTTTCACAAAAAAAAATGAATGAAATAAATTCAAAATTTCTAATTTTGCTTTTCATTTTTTCTTCCCTCATTTGATAGTGATTAGACGAAAAAGTGCTTCCGAACGTCTAGCCGAATCGAAAGGCAAATACATTGGCCGAATGCAATCAGATGCAAACATTAATTGTTTCAATAATCGATCAGATCATGATTATCGAGAACAGCAATCTATTGATTCGATCAGATCAATGGATACTTGTACGACTTCTACGAATTTTATTCGATCAAATCAAACAACTAATTCACAATCAAATTCTTCGATAGCTGAAATCCATTTCATTGATGGTTCAAACAATTTAGATAATGGAAGTTTAATCTCAAAAATCAACAGTCATTTAAATAAAATTAAAAAACAATCAAATCAAAATAATCTGGTCAAAAAACGAATCAGTCCTAAATTATCGGAAAATTCAACAGGTGCTGTAAGCAATCTGGAAATGCAATTAAGAGAATTGATTAGTTTGGATAATGTTGTTAACGATGTTGTTGTTTTGCCTAACCGGATTTCAAATGATTTTATTTCAAAAAATGATGATTTACAAAGAATTTGTGAATCGGATGATCTAATCAAACAACAAAAAGATATCTATCGTGCTGAACTTAAATACATAGGCTCATCATCATCATCATCTCAATCGTCATCATCGCCAACACAATCCATTACGACCAACACCACCAGCTCATCATCATCTTCTTCTTCATGCTCTATATTTTCCGAACCGTATAACATTTCATCTTCACCCGAAAAAATGAAAAGAATTAACGATAAATTATTATTTTTATCATCATCATCATCATTGAAAATGGAAAAAAAGTTTTCAAATATTTCATCACAGCTGCCATCTATCTGCACTGATTGTAAACATGATGAAAATTTAAATCTATCAACTTCTGTAATGAGATCTAAATCAGACATATCTCCATTATCGAATAATCAACGATTTTCCAACAATCATTCTAATCCACAGGAACAAGACATTGATCATATATTTAAAAGTCTGTGTTTAAATTCTAATCATAAACCGAATGAAAATAACAATGATAATCGAATGAAGACTGAACAAAATGAACGGAATATCATCTTTTCATCCAATGATGATTCATTGAAACGAAAAATGCATCATCATACTAATAAGGATAATTATAATGTGAAAAATCATCACAATAATTCAATGATTTATCCTGGCTATGAAGATTCGAACTCGAATAAATCGACGACAATTTCGAATGAATTTTCAAGTTTTAATTCATCAAGTCAACTATCGGTTGATGAACCATCATTCAATCATACCCATAATAGTAAACGGCGAAGAATTTTTCATCATCATGGAGGCAGTACTTCGAAATTGACATTCGAAAATTTGATGCTTCATCAACAAAATCTAGCATCATCTCGTTCATGTACAAATCTATTGGCCAACTTTCACAATGGACCATCTGTCGTCGAACGTAATGCTCGAATAATAAAGTGGTTGTTCAATTGTCGAAAAGCAATGGATCATCAATCGACAATCATTTGATCATCAAATCATGTTCACACTGATCAAATAACGATTGTTGAATATAATAATGGAAAAATTATTGCTCTATATGGGATGATATTTTTAGTAGTCAATATTTTTTATTCAGCCAATAATTTTGGTTTATTTCATTATTATTATATATTTAGACTAGTCGGAAATATTTTCTCTTTGAAAAAAAATGATTTTACAAATTTTTTATCGATAAATTTTTGATTTGAAAACAAATAAAGTTTTTTTTTATTATTTTAAATTTGTTCCCATTCATTTTCTTTTATTGTTGAATGTTTTCAAGAATTCTTTTTGGTGGATTGTATATCATCATCTCCAGAAATCGAATCAGATGTCGTTTGCTGTGGACATTCTAACTTATTGTCTGATTTTTTTTTCTCGGGCAATGGACAAGAAAGATTTGCAAAAGGTTGTGGTAATTGATAATCCCCAATCCATCGATCAATTAATGGTTGTAGAATCGGATAGATGAATTTATACCAAATAAACAAAACGATTGGTGCAATAAAACAAGATATGCAGACCATTTTTGATGAATTTTTATTAAAATTTGAAAATCAGAATTGAAAATGGTTGAGCGAATTTGGATACAGTGGTACCTCGGTTAACGACGATGATCGGTTCCTGAAAAACCGTCGTTAACCGAAATGTTCGTTAACCGAAATACAATGCAATACTTGTTTTTTAATCATCGTTAACCGAAAAAAATCGTCGTTAACGGTCTCCTGACCGAAATCGTTAACCGAAAATTTCGTTAACCGAGGTGTTCGTTAACCGAGGTACCACTGTATTGTTATTTTTTTAATATAAACTCAATATAGCTGGCGACAGGCGAAATCATCGATGTTCTTCCATCGAATTTATTTAAAGCGTACTTCCCAAAATTTGGGATACTTATACTTTTGCTATTATCTTTGGATTTTGCGATTGAATGATTATGTTGGAAATAAGGCAAATAATTTCAATTGGTGGCTGTATTAAAATTTTGCTAAAATTACTATTTTTTACGAAAATTTAATGTAATATTTAATCGACAATTTTGTATGCACCTACAAAATCAAATTGAGAATTTAATGTAGTCTGAATGACTGTTGTTCATTTATATCTTGAATGAGATAGATAGATATATGATACAAAGCGAATAGTTAGACAAGGTAAACGGAGATAACCTGATGAAGCAGGTTTTATGGCGCGTTCATAGCCGAATCTTGTTTTTGCTGTTGTTGTTGTTGTTGATCAAAATTCATTGGTTGTGAATCATCAAAGTTGTTTCAAAGAAAATTGTTGCCATGGTCTGTTGTATTCGTTGGCGAAGCAATCAAATGGTGAGTCTTGAAACGGCAACGCGCGTTTTATTGCAAACAAGTTGACACTAGCTATTCAGCTAATAAGAGATACGAACAGAAAATTCGTTCGTCGAACGTCGTCAAAGAAACAAACATACCAAAGTGGTCATAGCCTTTGTTTATTCAGATCTTTGAATACGCACATTATACGAACATATAAAGAAGTTGTAATCATTGTTATTTAGTTGATAGTGTGCAAACAACTATTCAGATTTTCCTGTTTGATTGTCAAAACGATGGACATCGATGTCACTTGAATTGTTTGACTGAAATCTGATCCATTAGTGTGATCTCTTGTTTGTAATTTTTTTCAACAATCATTTCTGTTTTTTCTCTTATCTGCATTTTAGTAGATTATTTTGTCTGCACATTTCTCCGTACAAACAATAAATGTAAATGAGCTTCGTGAAAATTAACAACCATGGCCGATTGTCAAATCAATTCGATTTCTGATCAACCGTCAAACAGTAAAGATGTAACCACCATAATTCCAGAAGGCCGTGTTGGTGAAGGTAAGAATTCGAAATTTATCGATAGATTTCATATTTAAATTGAAATTTTTAGTTTGTAAAGAATGGCTAATACGAGAAGATGGAAATCTTGCTTATCGATTGCAAAATGAAGAAAGTAAGTTGTTTTTAGTTGAGTTGCTTATCATTTTATTAAATCGTTAAATTTATCTTCTCAAGTTGAACAACATTACAATGAAAATCGATCCAAAAATCAATTGGTCCGTAAAGACATTCCATTGGCTAAACATTTGCAAAAGAATGAAATTCTAGAAGCTCAACAAAAATATGAACGTTTTCTTCAGGAACAAATTATTCACGATGAAAAAATAGCGAGAAAAATCGAACATCGTTTATTGTTAGAGGAAGAAGAAGCGAAAAAGGCAGCCGAAGAAGCTGATGCTAAATTGGCTAAAAAATTGATGGAAAAAGAAAAAGCTAAACAAATAAGAAAAAGGATAGAAAAAGAGAAGCAACAAGTGGAACGATTATCTGCTCAAATCGGTACAGATTTTCGGTCATTTAATATGGAAAATTTTCATGAACCAACAGTGAATATTAATCAAAAAACATTAGATCGATATGCTCGATCAAAAAATCATCGAATCATGACAGAAGATGAACAAGAATTAGATCTTTCCGAATTCTGTATGCCTCCACCACCTGGACTCAATCCAGAAGAGCTCAAACTTTTTCTTGAAGAACAAGATGCAGAAATTGCTCAATTACTTCAACACCAGGAATTGAAACGAAGTCGAAATCCAGAAAAAGAAAAATTAGCGTCAATTGAGCAGCAAGATTTTGAAATAGCCAAAATGTTACAAAAAATGGAGAAAGATCGTTACAAAAAAATCAAGGAAAAACTCAGGAATAATCAACGTTTGAATCGATCATCTGATCAGGATTCGAACTTCCCTGAAGAACGCAATTATCAACGTACTTCAACACCACTTACTTCAATGGATAGTTTATTGGTTGACGCAAATAAAGTTGAAAATGATTATGATATTCCAGAAAATCACCTAACATCACTACATGATCAAACATATGAAGAACCATATAATGTATTGAATGAATGTTCAGAAACAACATTAGCTCAAAGTTTTCATAATATCGCCATTGATTTGGATCCTACTTATAGACGGCGCCTCAAACAAACACAATGTTCATCTTCGCAAGGAAACCTTACAGAGTCTTGTGTGGACGATGATGATAATGATTACAGGGCGGAACAGGTAAATAAAACGGGATCACCAACTTTTCTACCTACACATCGTTCATATCGAGATTCTTTGGAAAAACTACATTCAACTTCTAAAATCACTAGTGAATATAGTCGAAATCCTCCATCTACATGTACATCATCATCTCGATCATCAAATACAAGTTCCGAGAATAGAAATTTACATAATCCCGAACAACAAAAATCTGACGACTTTGCTCCACCACTGCCTCCCCGTGATATGTCGCTGATGCATAATTACAAACCAACAACTACAAGTATTGATCAAGATCATCATTCATGGAAAGAATCAATCAAAAGTAGAGTGTCAAATAATTTATTACCACCACATCATCCACAACATCCTAATCGTCAGTTCAATGATTTTTTGGGCATTCATTCATTATCGGATAATGACCAATCATCAACAAATAATGCTATTGTACAAGGGCAATGGCGAATGCCATCGTTAGAAAAGCCACAGAAAAAGATAAACAAACCAGATGGCTGTAGGACGCAGTGATTATTACATATTGATTTATAATAATAAAATTGTTTTTTGTTTGTTATACTTTTTTCAGATTGATTTTGAAATAAAAAATCGTATTTTAAAAGAAATTCTTATTCCTTCCTACACGTACATTGTGAATGATGTGATGTGTTTGATCAATTTTATTCTCTTTTGTGCACAAGACATGTGTTTATAAACAAAAATTAAAATGTATCAAATTATTTTTGAAGCAACAATTTGATAATTACTAGACATAAAAATACGAAATGGCAATGTTAGCAGAAGATTCAAAAATTATGTCCATGGCTAATACCGATCTAATATGGTCGCTATATCCGGACAGATTTGTTACATTTGGTAATGAATTAAAATTATATGTTGTTGATACAATTACTGAACTACCTCAAATGTTTGGCGGAATTAAATTATCTGAATTGAGTTTTTCACAAATTCTCACTTCTAAATCCGAATTTCGTTTTGTTAAGGTTAGTTTTAAGACCATTATCAGGTTATCTAAAATGATATTTTTCGATGAATTTGTATAGTCGATGGCATGTAATAATCGATTACTTAAACATGGAGCGGATGTTTTATATGCTCTTGGATATCAAAACGGCAAAATTGTTCTAAATTCATTTGATTCGAGTTCTGGAAAAGAGTCTGATGCAGGATACCATTATTCAAATGTAGTTGGAAAAGAATTCATACAAGAATATCCTCGTTCATGCAATGCTTTGGATTTTTGTCAAATCGACAATAACCTGGTGAATAACAATTTGATGTTATGATTAATTGTTAACTCATTCATTAATTTTTTCAGTTGGCTTCGGGTTTTGAACGTAATAAAGACGATTATTCTGTCATGATCTGGGACATTGCTCACACTGGAATCAATTACAATCAAGCTGCTCAAAGTGCAACTATAACTGGAACAACTAAGCCATTGCACCAATCTGCTCCGAATGATCAAGTTCATTCTCTTAGATGGTTTCGTAACCGTTCTCTAATTTGTGGCATGAACAACAAACATATTAAATTAATAGATGCCAAAGAATCGCCCAATCAAGGTCCTTGTGTTTTCACCAAAGGAGTTTACGGTATAACTCCAGATACTCATACTGACTATCGTTTCGCTTCGTTTTTTGAAGTAAGCTAAATCATTTGACTGAATCTTCACAAACAATTTTTTGTTATTCTTTACAGAATTTTATTTATGTCTGGGATTTGAGATTCTTTGAAAGTCCTCTGGTGACGATAGGACCGGAACCTTCTAGCTTTGTCAAATTAGAATGGTGTCCAACCCGTTCCAACATGTTGGCAGCATTATTAAAAGACACTAACAGTATACGATTGTATGATCACAAACAATATACTAATTTTAATGAATTTCCTGAACCATCTATTCTAAAACGCGATATTACTCCGTTCGAAGGTAACTTCTTTTAACAGTTGAAAAAAGGATCATTTCAGATTTTAATAATTTTTTCAGTAAATAATTCACAAATTTTATCATCATTTTCTTGGCATCCAACTAATGAGTTTCAAATGACCGTAATCACTTCTAATGGTGTGATCCGTGATTTCAAAGTAGTTGATCGAATTACGCTTAATTGGTCACCAATCTCCGAGATAATTTGGACACATGGCAAAAAAATATTACAATGCATCGATTCAAGAGATTCAATTTATAAGGAAATTGATGATATTGCTGTTCGTATGCGCAAATTAGCTATTGACGGTTATGGTCTTTCGGTATGTATTTTCAATTATTTGTTGTCATGATTTCATTCTCTTTTCCATAGGCTGAGAAATTATGGGATATGTTTTGCAAAGATAATCCGCTTCACTTTGTTTGGAAATGGATTTATATGCATATTAACAGAAACGATCCGAAAAACCAAGCTTTGAAATCAAGCAATGAGGAAATTTCATACGATATTTTTTCTTTACATAATACAGAGCGATTTTTCGGAGTTATGGGCATTCTTTTCGAAAAAGAATCCCCGAAAAATTTGCGTCCAAGTGAACTCATTTTGCCTAACAATTTTCCAGCAGCTTTAAGGTGATTATGGAAATTATTATTTTCAAATTCTAATTTTAAATTTAAAGTAAAAAGGAAATTTACGTCAGTTTTGAGAGATCTAAAGCTCTTCAATATTGTGGTTGGAGTGATAGACATTTTTCATCAAATTTCACCTCATCTTTTGGCTTTGATGAGCTAGCTATTACATCTAAACTGGATTCTAATATTCCATGTGATTATTTTATTTCGATTAATGAAAATGAACATAATTACACTCGGCTTGCAGCTATTATGGTTTTTAATGGACGAGTCAGTGAAGCTATTGAATATTTGAATCGTGCATCTGATTTTGCAAGCAAGAACTCTTGTAATAATCATAAATCTAATGATCTCCATCAGAATGGCAAACAAACTGATAAAGCAGTTTCATTGAACGCTATAGCTTTGGCTTTATCAACATTTATTACCACTGTTGATCGAATAGATAAATCGAATGGCAATCTATACATTTGGGAAGAAATATGTTCCAAATTGAAACCCAAACTTGATGATCCATACATTAAAGCTATATTCAATTTTGTCTCTGTTGATTGTAATTCGGATGTTGGAAAATATAGCGAAATAATCGTAAGTTTTTCAATAAATTTGAGCCATTTTTTATCGAAACTAATTTTTAATTTGTCAGTACGATGAAAAGTTAGATATTGCTGATCGTGTTGCATTTGCATGTCTTTATCTTCCAGACACAGAGGTATAAAGGTTTTGACAAAATTTTCACGTTTAATCTGATTATTTGCATTCTATTTTTTCAGCTGACTGATTTCCTATTTCGAGTACAAAACAATTTGATTGAGAAAAATGACTTGCGAGCAATTTTGTTTACAGGACTAACTGAAGATGGATTAGAATTATTTAGGAGATATATCGAAAGTACTAGTGATGTACAAACAATTAGTTTGATTCTATTATGGACATTGCCACATTCACTTTGTAAAATTCCGATTGTCAAAATTTGGATTGATAACTATAAACAATTACTCGATTGTTGGCGATTATGGAATGTCAGGGCTCAATTTGATCTAAAATGGTATGAAAGTATGAATTATTTGGAAGAACCGCGACAACAAATCTACATCGTTTGTAATTATTGTCGATCACCGATATCTACCTATACTCACACTGATTCAAATACAAAATCTCCAATATCTCACCCGCAACCAATCTCTCATCATCAATATAACCGAGCTTCAAGTGCCAATTCATCATCGAATAAATTACGAATATGTAGCTGTTCGAATTGTGGTAAAACATTACCACGATGTTCATTATGTCTTACACAATTGGGCACACCAGCAGGTTTTCATTGGCGTCCTGGTATCATTCTAGAAAAAAGTAATCGCAAATTATCACCATTTTCATCCTGGTTTACTTGGTGTCAAACATGCAGACACGGTGGTCATTCTGTTCATCTTCTTGATTGGTTCACAGAGAATACAATATGTCCAGTAGCTGGTTGTAAATGTAAATGTATGGGGTTGGATGCTAATGCTAGACCTATATTTTAAATTTTAAATTTTTTTCTGTGATTTATGAATTATTTTTTATTATTTAACCCTTTTTTTAATTCAATTAAATTCATTTATTTTTTGCAATTTTTCGATTATCATTCGTATAAAAAAACGAGTGTGCGCAAACTGTATCATTGGTCAATTTGCAATTACGAGCAATACAAATCGTATGCAATAAAATGCTCACAATTCGGCACCCGATTTGATCGTTAGTTCCATTTATATTCAGCAGCCTGTTGATCATCGAGTGCAAATTGAGGTCTTTGTTTAAAAAAACCATGTTTATAAATCGAATTTCTATCGATATCGGTCAGATTTTAAATCACATTTTTTTCAAATTTTTTTATGAATTTTTTTTGTCTTTAATAGAATCATCATATTTTCATCAATCATCATTTGCAGATAAACTCAAGATTCGTAAATTTAGGCCCATTTTGGATGAATCCGAAGATATTATGAGTGATTTCATTTTGACACCCAAAGAAAACATTAGTGATACTAGAATTATAAAACATGAAGATGTGGCAGAGAAAATCATGATTGAACTAACTACTGATAGAAAGAAATTTCAGTCATTAAAAACAGATAGAAATGATTTGCATATATCCAAATCAAGATCCAGTCGTTCGACAAAACGATTATTGAGAACTTTCAATAAATCATGTTCTGTTGAACAATCACAATCAACCTCTGAATTTGATTGTAATACAATCATTTTTAATTCCTCGAATAAAAAACAGATAAAACAATTTACCAATTCTTCTTGGATTCGTTGTAAAATTTGTAAAAAAAGAATTCATTCCAAAGAGGAAAAAATACGAGCTCATTATCGTATTGTTCATAATTTTCTTTTCATGAAGACTAGTGATTCTGATATTATTCTCACTCGTTTAAAAGTAAACAAAAAATATTTTCATTTTTGCTGTTTATCGTGTCGGAAAAAATTTATCGATTTTGATCATTTTATTCAACATCGATGTAAATATATTCAACGAAAAGCATTTGCCGATGATAAAAATGATTTGGAAATTAAAGTGAGATCATCAATGCCTGATTTTGAAATTGACTATAAATGTGAAAGAGAATTCTTCAAAAATTTAGGCCTACAAAGGAGATTGGAATGCCAAACCAAATTTAAATGTGATCATGTGAATAATGAGAAAATTGATAATCCAGATCCATGTTATGAAAATAATTTTATGAATTCATCATCCCGGTGTCATTCTTTAAAAAAATCCATTCTTCCCCTTTCATCCATCACCAAGATAGAAATATGATTCTGAATCGCTGATTTTTTAAAAATTTTATTCGATAACATTTTATCCAAATCAATTAATTAATTAAATTTTATAAGAAATTACATTTACTTTAAAATTGAATTAAAAGTTTTTGCGCATGAATTCGAAATTTTATATCTTTTATTGAAAACAACTTTCAGTATATAAATCAGTCTTTTTTGTATGACCTATCTTGTTTGTTGTCTCATTTGATTTATTCGAGCAGACAATAAATTTACTTTAATTTTTCACGCTTAAAAGATAATTCTAATTGAAACTCTATTTTTCATCAAGTAAATCTATTTTCCAAAAAAAAACACCAATTGTTTTAATTGCTTTTTATCTACTGTAGAATATGGCTGGTTTCAGACAATTTATTCGCGATGGTGTCAAGGCTTATCATGTATGGCCGGTAGCATTTCTTGCTTTTTTGGTTGGTCCGGGTTTAGCCGTTTATCAATCTTACCATCAGATTAGCGGTCCGGATGTTCGTGTGTTGAAAAATTTCGAAACACAACAAGCTTACGAGAAAAAGCAATTCAAATATCTATCATCGATCGATCATCAGAATTATGAGCATCCTCGCCCGAAATTTTAAATTGTTAACAATTCCTTCTATTAATTATTAAGAACAGATCGTAAGCTTTTCAATTGTCCCCAATTTGTATAACTAAATTTGGCAATGTGATTGATTGATTGATAAATGAATAAAATTAGTTTTTTTCAATAATTTATTTTTTGTGTCCAACTTTAATCGTCACCAATTTCTCAATACGTTATGTTTGAATGTAGCGAAGCTCAAATTGACGCATTTTTGGGCCAGAAAAATGTTATTGGTTTTCAATTCTTAAAATGTCCGATGGCGATTATCGATGTCGCAAATGCCGATGTCGTTTATTTTGTAAAGAATCATCAATCACATGTCATAATGAAAAACTAATTGATGTTGATCATCAAAAACAACAAAACGAATGCTATGATCGATCATCGAATGTAATATTTGTAGATGATCGAAAAATCAACGAACAATGGATTCAACAACAAATCGATAATGGTGAATGGATAAAAGGTCGATTAACTTGTCCAACCGATAATTGTAAAGCTCGTGTTGGTTGTTTCAATTTCATAAATACAGAATTCTGTCATTGTGGTAAATATCAATTACCACCCATACAGTTTAATCGAAGCAAAGTGGATTTACCTTAAAATGTTTTATTTTTATTATAATATCAAATAAAATCCATTTTATATCAAAATTGTATTCAATTTTTATAATTTATATCACAATTTTTCATCATCGATCTTCATTCTGCTTTAACGATGACTCGGACATTATTTGGTAACGTGAGAAATCTCTGACAACTTCGTTGAATGTATCATCGCTTTGTGAACCAAGTTCATCATTTCTCATTTCATCTTTTAGTTTTTTTAAACGCAAGCTATTAAAAAATATATATTAATTATCAGTTGTATCAAGATCATTGAATTTACATACACTGTTACAATATCTGCACAAGCTTTATCCAATGCTATTGACAAAGCATCCTCATCTGATTGATTTGTGATCGATGGGTCGGCTCCACGTTTTAATAGTAGACACACTTGTCTGAAATATTCAATGAATAAATATAAATAATATATGAGTTGAAAAAGATAAAATTTACCCAGTATTTGAATTTCGAGTAGCATGATGTAAAGGAGTACATCCGTTATCATCTTGAATATTACATTTTGCTCCATTCAAAAGCAAATATTCAGATGTGGTCATCGTTCCTTTTGATACAGCCTGAAACAATGGAGTACGATTATGATCATAGTAATTCTGCCAATTGATTGAAGCACCGGCTGCTAATGCGTATGCCATTGTTTTCAAATCATTTAGAGCGGATGCTTCATAAAGTAACAAGTTGAAATATTGACCACTTAAATCAATTTGATTTGAATTTTCATTACAATTTTGTTGTTCAATGAATTGAAGAATCTGAGACTGAAAATTGCTAGTATAATTAAATTCCATATTAAACATATTGTTTTGGTCTTTGGTCGTGTCAATATTGATTTTTTTGTTGACAAAAAGTTTGTCTAAATATTTGGCTTTGATCCATTTTTCACGTTTATTACGATCACTTTTTGGATTGATTTCTTCCAAAACAAGTTGAGTATTTGATTGATTAGGTGATACGGATAAAAGATTTTCATTTTCCCGATGCTCACTTGACAGAGATTCGGAACTGAACTCGGTGGAATCTTCGCTTGAATTACTTTCATTATGGTCAGCATTCTGACATTCTAACAAAGGCCATTTCTGAAGGTATATTTTATTGATGACAGTGTTACCCAAACCAAGCATCACTTGTATTTGTTCAGAATCAAGATGATCCAATGTGAGTGATCGAACCTTACTAACATGAACGCCCAATGATCGATGAACACCAGAACATTCAATACATAAAGTGATGCCAAGATTTATACTGGCCCATACGGGGTCATTACAACCACAATCGGCACATCTATCGTTGCCAGCTATGAAGAAAATCTTTGCCGCATCAGATCTAGATGAAACATGGTTTGCGGAAGATGATGATATGTGAGGATTCGTATAGATAGTGGTATTATTGGTGGTTTGAGTCGGAATAGATCCATTACTATTTGTCGATGTATTAGTACAGACAGAATCTAATGAAGATGATTCGAGGTAAGTGGAACTATTTCTTTTATTATTAGTTAAAGTTGAATCAGATTCACGATTACTGCTATATGCAGCATCGATACCGGCTTGTAGAGCCGCTAACCACTGTTTACAAGATTCTTCAGATTCAGCTTGCAGTAAATGGCTTTTTGTCGGTGACACTACTTCAAAACAAAATCTTCTATCAATTTCAAAAACTGGACGAGCATTACAAAGTCGAAGATCTTGTTCCATAACATGGGGTTCTTCATTTGATCTTTTCTGATAAGACAGTTGGTGATTTTGAACGATAAACCAGCGCCGATTCCATGATTTGAATGCATTCGTAGTTCGTTTAAACAGATAACCTTCAATACAAATTGTCTCGCCATTGCGAATTAAAGGCGGCACTGTTTCGTGTTGTTGAACCAAATGATGTCGATTGCTCAAAGATTTTTCTAATTTGGTACTCTCTGAGTGCATTTTTATCAGCTTTGAAACAAAATCCTTAGTTCGATTATTTTATCGATATTAAATTACTCACATGGTTGGCGACTTCAGCATTGAAATCTTTCATATCTTCAAACGTTTCATATGCTTGATGAAAATGTGTTCCATGGGCGGTAGTTAATGCTAACAACTGTGAAATCAACCATGAAATTAATGAATTAAAAATCTTAAGAATTTGAACTTACTGAATCAAGAACAATATGCCTTCTTCTGCTAACAAATAATGTCAATTGAGCAACATAATCTAATGTTAAATGTTGAAAACAAGATTTCGTGGCGGTCAACATGTTACATGCATCTTTCCATTCGGCTTGTTTATTCTTTGGTATTTGTGAATGGCGCGTGAATACCAGATCTAAATCATCGCTACGTTTCTGAAAACGTCGTTTCAATTCTTTTACTGTGCCAATATCACTATGTAGAAAAGTCGAAAGGTTTTCCTGAAATTTTTGGTTATGTTGTTCATTTAGGATGTTTTCGTATTTATTGATTTCATATAATGGCTCGATAAATCGACTAATCAATTTGGATATATCGGGTTCATCGTTGAAACAATGACAAAGATTAACCAATGATTGAAGAAAATGTCTGCAAAAAGAAATTATTATCTTAAATTTTGCGGAACATCTCAAGAAATACTAACTGTTTAATTCGATTATATTGTTTACCAATTTCAATCATCGATGAACATTGTTTCAAAACCTTAATTTATATCAAACCAATTAGTTGATGAATTTTAAAAAATAAGTTTACCTCAGAAATTGTTTTTTCGAAGAGATCGATCTGTGATTCATGTTTATCTAATGTGATCCTTTAATGAGAAATAAATATTAAGAAAGTTGATAATTTTTTAAAAATAAAATACCTGAATTTTGGTGAATCACGTAACGATTCCGCAGGATCGACAATTGTTTCCATAGCTTTATATAAACACACAAACACTTGACTCGAAATTAAACAGTATGACCAAATGAAATGTCAATTAACAGAAAAAAAACAAACGGAAAAAACAATTTAAATTTTTCAACGATAATGAGCGGTTTCGATGTACTGTTTGTTTAGATCTCTCGGTCTATGCTTATGATGAACAGAAACATTTAAAGTCAATAATATATTTGTCAGATAATTTTATTTCGAAATGATAGCAATGGATACATTTTTTCAAAACTTTTGAATAAATAGATTCTTGGTTAATCGAATGGGTTGTTTCGTGATCTAAATGGTGGATACATTCATTGAAAAAATATTTTATTTATTGCAAATCATGCACAAAGGAAATTATTTATCCAAATCAATATACAAAAAAAAACATATCGATCGATTGACAGGACATTGGCAATGGCTAATGTATAAGGCAATCATCATCATCAACAACAACATATATTCATCATATATACCTTTGCTACGCTGTTAATGTTTCTAAGCAGATAAATTGTCTTCCGTATTGTTCGCAAAGATATACGAATGTAACCAAAGTTATTACGCGAATGACTAAAGAGAAAGATTAGTTTAAAAACTATTTTGAAGCATACTCGATAGAGAAGAATGTTATTCGTTTAATCGGTCATAGCCTAATACTTGATTGTTGATGAAATCTTTTTGTTGTTCGACGACGATGAAATTTATGTTGATGGATTGATGATGAATATAGTTTAATGGTAATAATCAAAAGTTAAAATCGTAGCTTCACTGTATACATTAAAAGCAAACGATATTGCGACAATGGACATTTTTTGCTGTTATTGTCTCCGTAGCGATTAATTGCAGCAACATTTAACTCTAAAATAATCATTAAATCGATTTTAGTTCCATCTGGTATTGGAGCGAATCAACAAGTATAAAAAGTATGCAAACATATCTCAAATGCCTTAATTTTTTGTTAGTAATGGTATAAAATAATTTTCAATATCGATAATTAATTACCGATCATAGAGGGATACAAAAAAAAAGACTTCAAAAATGTAGTCAACAAAAAAAAATTATAAAAAACATCCATTATAGATTTTGCATTTTATTTTATAAATCATATTATTTCTTAATTTTTCATTTATAAAGTTTTTTTTCATATCTCATCCAAATTACAATCATTTCACTGCAAATTGACATCAAACAATTGTAAGCAATGTTTGAAATTTGTAATGAAATAATTTGTAAATAAAAAAAGAATTATTTTATTAAATAATAAAAATTATATATCTTCCACTTCATTGGCTTTTTCTTGTTAATTTTCATCCGCATTTGATTTTAGTTGGTAGTGTTCTTGCAAGCGATAATAGCTTCTTCATCAACAGCAGACATGACAGTAACCTAAGTGGTGTGAGTGTGTATGTGAATTTTGTGATGTGAAAAAATCAGTACATTAGTCACCGTTATTGAGCATAAATTGCATCAATTTTACTTACGATAATAGTGGTGTCATCTTTACCGAATTCTTCTCGAATTTTTTGACCAAGTTCTCCTTCTGGAAGACGAAGATCATCACGAGTATCGCCTTTATCATTCATAAGTGTGACAAATCCATCATCACTGACATCGATAAGCTGTAAAATAAGCAAAATAACGTTAGTAATGAAACTAAATAATGGAAAATAAAAAACCCATACTTGGAAATCATTACGAGAAACATTTGGTACATCAATGTTATGAGTTGACGGACAAATATCTTCATATTTTTTATTGGTAAAAATATCTAAACCAACAAGATGTACTTTAGCATGGCCATGTTTACCAGTTTTTGAAGTGCTCATTTCCATGACTTTACATGGACGACCTTTGATCATGACAAAACCGTTTTTACGAAGTGATGAACATTGTACTGGATAAGTTTTTGATGCACCTGCATTAGCGGACGAGTAATCATCACCTTCATCCATTATGATAATATTGTTCTATTACAAATTGCAAAAAAAAATTGATCAAGGTTCGGGTTTGAAGAAAAAAATTTCTAACAAATTTGAAAGGAAAACAGAAAAAAAATTCTAATCTAATTATTTTCAAATTGGAAATTTTATTATTCATTTTTTTCAAATAAATAATCTACTTACCGGTAAATTTGGATGATATGAATTCTGGAACTAATATAATGCCGATAAGGGGTAAAAAAATAACAAGAAATAGAGCCAACAAGAACAATGAACAAATGAAATGAGAAATGCGCGACGGCGTGGTTCTTCTTGTGGTGTGTGTGTGGATAAATTTTGATAGCTGGCTTCTTTTTTCTTCTTTTTTTTTGGACAACGCATACACAGAAAAAACACACGATTAGACTTGCTGCGTGCGTGGTACCCGTCTAGATTGATGCCGTTCATAGATGATAGACTTGAAAAAAAATAACTTAAATCAGTACACGTTTCATACAAACACGCATAAATACACTCAAAGACAGTCATGTGTGTAAAAGTTAGTCGCCGCCTTAGCCGCTAAAAAAAATTTTTTTGGAAAAAAAAGGAAGACATACGTCTTGCGCCACCGTTGATTAATGTTACATTATAAAATCGATTAATCGAATCACTATCGATTGTTATTGAACAAATTTTTTCACACACACATCTTGTAAAAAATATGATTCTTAATAATTTATTTTATCATTTGATTCAATTTTGAAGTTTTTAATTTAAATTTTAAAAAAATTGTTTTTTTCTTTGGAATTTACACGAATTTGTCGTGGCCAAAGTAGCAAAATTCAAAAGCACGTTGAACCTTTGAACCTTTTTAAAAAACAAAACAAAAAATATTTGTACCAATCACATATGACATGATTTGAAAATTTATAATATATTGCGTATCATTGCGATGATTTTTGATCTTTTAATTCATTATAATCGGAAATATTTTTAGGTCCAAATGAGATAGGTATCAATTCATTGAGAGTATATTGCTTGTAATCATCATTATTGCGATTGGCCAGTATTACAATCAGATCCTCACCGAACTATAGATAGAAATCAAGATTATTGTGATGTTTTGTTTTCGTCAATAGATGCTTTGTCATTGTATGATATTTCTACAATAATAACATTACCTCCACCATGAATTGGCGGCAATTACCACAAGGTGCACAGAGATCATTGGTTAGATTCGATGTAATAGCTATAGCTTTAAATTTTCTATGTCCACTTGAAACAGCTTTAACAAAGGCCGTACGTTCAGCACAAATTGAACCGGAATAAGTAGCATTCTCAACATTGCATCCTATGTTTGACCAAAAGAATAATCAATTTTCAAAACATAATTGCGATTAATTTTACCTGTAAAGACGGTACCATCATCACAAAGTAATGCACAGCCTACAGGAAAATTGCTGTAAGGACAATAGCTATATACCAAAGAATTTCTAGCATTTTGAATTAAATTCAGTATCTCTTTTTGATCGATCATTGCCATAATTTCTAACAAAATAAAATCTATCGATCAAATACTGAAAACCGTTGCAGAAAAATAAAGTTCATACATTTATTTGCTCGTAAATTTGATATCTGCATACAGATAGATAGATGAGAAACAAGAGCAACTAGTGGCCTAGACATTTTTTCACATTCATTTTATATAGTGTTTGTTCATCATTTATTTTATATCAAATAAAATTTATTAGATAATGAGAAAGTATATGTTCAAGGTTATTATTCGTTATTAAGAAATTATAATGTGAAAAGAGAAAAAAAATAATGAATTTTTTCAAAATCAAATCGGTGAAATATTTTCAATCAATGTTTAAAATAAAAAATGTTTTTTTCATAGGTTGTTTCATGTTTTCCGTTCATTCAGTTGAATGAGAATCTTGAAATGGAATTCGGTGTAATACTTCATCTAAAAGTTGTAGAGCACGATGGAGATGTATTTCTATCCAACAAGGTGTCTCTTTGATAGTTTTTCTTGGATAATCGGGACCCCATCCTTTGACAAATGATAGACGCAAAATACACAATCTTCTTAAATCATCAACACCAATTCCAGATGCTGAGGCTGGAAAAGCTAATAAAAAAAATGATTGAATAAATAATACCATTTTCTTTTGATTGATAATAAATACCTAGATTAGTTCCCTGTACACCCACAACTGCAGCTGCTCTAGCTTTGGCAATGTTATGTGCATCACTAGCTTGCTGTTCCATTTGACGGTAACATTGTTTAAGATCGAAAACTTTTATCAATGTTTCTGGATAAATTTTATGAACAGCATCGCCAGGTTGACGACCAGCCTCACGATCTAGATAGTAGCTTTGCAGAAAAACAGAATGATCGGACAGACAACTTAGATAAACATCACCTTCTCCTTGAAGATCAAGTTTAACACCTAGTAAAGTCTTGAATTAGATCTTGAATAAAATGAAAATTAATCGAATACCTTTGCCTATATGAAGACGAGCTTTTTCGCTAGGTTCGGCGCGATGAACATTGGAAAGTGCTCCCAAACAGAAACGATTGCCTCCACTTGGATCAACATATCCATCAATAGTAACAGAATTAAAACTTGAAGGAACTTTAAAAGTTTCTCCAACGTGTTGATCAAGTTCAAAATAAGCGACCGAACACCAATATTCTGGCAATGGTTGATTTGATAACGGCATATTTTGAGAGATGTTGCTTGTTGCACCACGGGTAATAATTTGTGAGCTATTCATTTCTTGGGGCCAATATTCCATATGAGAGGCCATTCCAGCCACATCTCCATTGTGTGAAGAATTTTCTGGACCATTTGGAACATCTGAAGTGCCAGAATATGACATATTAGTTGATGGAGGAGGCATTTGGGCAGCGATTTGATTGGCATGATGACTGCCAATAGAAGGTGGAATCTTTTGATGAAGATGAGCAGCTGAGTTTGTTTGAATTGGAGAAGCGGTAGCATTCTGCCCACCATTCATCCGTTGAGATGATAGAGGCTCAATCTCTGTTTTGATCTTTATGTTAGACTGTTGGCTGTAATCAGCAATATTATTGTTTGTCGCAGGTCTATCACTATAATGTGTAGATTGTGTAAAATGAGACGTTGAAGATAGATATGAATTCTTATCAGCAGATTTTCCGATTTGATTCTGTTGAGGATAATGTTGCACCACATTCGATACTGAGGCTCCTGAAAATATAATTAAAAAAACCATTTAAGCCATTGTTTGAGGATAAAAAGGTTAATATAACGTACCAGTAACAAGGTAATCATTGCTTATATTTGGCTGATTTTCTTCTTCATTACTGGTAAGTGTAAGACTGGATAGATCAAGTCCAGGTGATACAACACGTTCATAATGGTAGGGATTTACGCAAACGAAGTCGCATTTTAATTCAAACGCATATTGACCTATTATAAAATTCATCAAAATTATTTGCTTGCTACAATTATAAAGCAGAAAACCTACATGTTTTGACATGTTTCAATTCATTTTTATGTAGATCAGGCCAACGCCAAATACGAGCATAAATCACATGTGGGAAACCTTTCCGTCCAGCAACCTGTAAACGTCCATCTAATGTTCTTTGAATGGTCACACATTTCGTATGAATCGAACCATTAGTGGTGATTGCCGTAATGAGAGAATCAAGTTCATCACGTTTTTCTTTTAATTTTTTAACAAGCGATTCAATCGCTCGTTTCGCAAAACTTTCTGATTCACCACCTTGTCTATGGCACATTAACGAATGTACTATTGAGTGACATGCATCCGCCGAGGTAGGCCTCGACGACGACGACAATGATGATGATGGTCCTGGATTTGATGGGCCACTTGTCGATCCTGATGTGGATGAGTATGATGCATTTGTTGGAGCTTGAGGGGGTGGAATTACAGGATTGACAGGGATTAAACCTTTATTCATAATATTCATCTGAATTGACATCTGGCTATTATTCATCTGATGACTAGCTGCCGTTGTTCCTGGATACATGACATTAGCAGAATTCATTGAATGTGGCATTTTCAATGATGGTGGGACAGGTGGCAATGGGCCAGCAGTGCCAGCAACAATAGACGAGGACATATCATTACATGGATCATTCATCATTGTTTACAAAGGGGTGATCTTTGCACTCTCCAAAATTCCAAGAGATTAACGGCAAAACAAATACCTGAGAAAAAATTTGTACAGCATAAGTAGCGCTATTTTTGAAGAAGAAGCATTTGCAAAATTTCGATGTTAATTTGAATTTTCAACTACGATTGCGTCGAAGATGTATCAATTGATGGTGCAGCGCCAAAAAAAATGAAGACAAATGATGGCGAACAACTTTACAATGCCTATTTTGGTAAGCTAATCTATATATTAATCTAAAAGAAAATATAACGCAAGAATTGTGAAGCGAAGATGATTTCAGGAGGATAATAATCACTGCAGTGGAAAATGTATGAGAAAAGTTCAGAAGCAAAGATTTGTACACAAACAAAAACTCACTCTGCCATCCATGGATAATGCGTGATCAACATAAATGACGTGTCAAGATATAACCCTTTTCTTAAAATATAATTAAGAATCCAATATTAAAAAAAAAATTTACATATAATTTTTATTTATTATGAAAAATTATCAATATTCATTAAATCAACAATGTAAATATAAAATAAATAGAAAAAACAATCATTTCATAAAACGACGGCACCGATTATGAGTAAAAAAATGTTTGTTGATGTCCAAAGATTTATGGACCAAGGGATCACTATTATAAGATAGAAAAAAATTTTAAGCTATAGATGTAATCGATTTATTTTGGCTGAGGTAAATTAATTTAGCTGCCGATTTTTTTTCATCATCTAGAGTTCAATGATTGGCTACCTTCGTTTGAATGTGGTTGTTCATCAATTGATTTGTGGAGCACTGTGCTTTTGTTTATGATATGCTGTCGGATTTCATTTCGTAATTGGACGACCTGTTTCTGTACATTATCCCAATGCTGTTTGTTCTTATCTAATTCATCCATTTTTTCCTTTACTAATGGGTCTGGTTCCCCATAATTCGGTGGATTAGCGAATGGATCGTAGCCCAATTTTTTTAGCATTGGGGCAATCTTGTACATATCGTTCACAACATCATCCGGTATGTGGCCAACCCATTTTGATAGAGCTTCTAAATTGATCGGTTTAATCACTTGATCAGTAGATCTTTCCAATCTATACAAAAACAATGATTAATTGATAGTTTTCTCTATTAAAAAAACAACAAACATACTTGGAAAGAGAAATATCACCCATTTCAACTAATTTTTCATGATGCAATACGGTACTGTTCCATGGAACATCGAGAAAGTCCAATATTTTATGCATCCATTTTGTTGGATTTAGCACAAGCTGTTCATAATAGACAGGAAAACATTTTTCTGGTCCTAATTTGTTGCATTGTTCATACTAATCACCAGGTCAAACAATTAATGTAATGAGTTAGGAAATAGCCCATAAATTTTAGTCTCTTACCATATGAGTCATGGCTGTGTTCCATTTTTTTAAACAATCTCGATAATCATTTAAATCGAAACCTGAGATGGTAACTTTACGCGATATAATAGAATGCACAACTGCTCGACCATCACGAATCATGAAAATAAATTTGGAATTTGGAAAAAGATATTGCAAATAGTGGGCCGAACGAAGTGTAAACGGATCTTTGTTGCAAAGACGTGGAGCTGGTTTTCCATGACGAACAATTATTTCCAGAATAAATGCTCTTATGGCTGAATCAAGAACTTCGGTTGTAATACCAGCTTCTTGTAATCGTTTCGATTCGAATGGTGCCTTTAACCACGATTGACGATTGCTGAGTATACGTGGGATGACTCTAGTTTCTTCACCACATCGAATATCTGGATGTGCATCCAATAAGACTCTTAAAAGTGTTGTACCGCTTCTTGGCATACCACCAATAAATATCAATGGCATATTGTGATCATAAAGATGTTTTTGTTTTCCATCGATGGAAATATATTTCTAATTGAATTAATGGATAAAATTGATTTTTGATTTATAATTTATGAAAATTACCTCGGATGAGATCCATTCATAATCAGGCTTTGGACTAAAAATGCAATTAGGATTTTGAAATGTATAATACAATATGAAAAAGATGATTTGAAACAATATGAATATATACAATGGTTGTCGTCGAAAATTCGGTACGAACATTTTTTTTTCGTTACGTAAAAATCCAATGTTAAAGCATTGGTCAAATCATACATTAATCAAAAATATCTGTCGATCAGTAACAAAACAAAAATTAATTTTTATTCGATCAAGTTGCCGATATTTTTTTTTCTTCTTTAGAACAAAATTTAATTTGATTAATTTTACAAATGAAACAAAAAAAAAATAATTATTATTTTCGAAACTACATAATTGATTCGATTTGATTCGATGAAAAAATGATCTAAACACTACAGTCATAAAAGAATTAATAATGAATAATTCTTTCTACGTCGATTTATTGATGAATTTTGAGATTCATTTTATACTGTAGTTTTTACTTGGAACAACAGTATTCAATGAAATTTTTTTCTTTATCAAAAAAACAAAACATACGATTTATATAGCCATGCTAATAACACCATACATCTTGTTGACAGAAGAAGAAGAAGAAAAAAAACAGAAACATTTTTCATTTACAAACAATTCGTTTCCATGGAAACTTTCTTGTTATGAAAAATGAATTTCAAAATTCTTTGCGCCAAACGAAAAAAAAACTTATAATTATGAGAATGAAAATTAAATCATAAGTTATAAATTTAAAATAAATTGATGATGTGTTCGATCAATTTTTTTTTTGATGTGTTAATCAACTTATTATCGTTAATTTAGTTGATAATACTAAATAATAATGATGATGATGTGATTATCCACTGTGATTATCATCTAATTTTTTTTTTGTTGGTTTGAATGCTAAACACGTACATCAGTACTGAAACAAAACAAAAAATTATGCAAATAAATTAGTTGAAAAAAAGCTGGAACTTTATGAAAAAAAAAATATTTTTTAATTATATATTGCACAGAATGCTTTTTGCTTTTTTTGGATAAAATCGACAGCAAAACAAATTGATGAAATAAATTATGTTTACATAAAAATAAAAAATATAAGAAAAAAAAATACATTTGTAGATCCACAAAAAATCAACAACAACAACAACAACAACAATCACTAAGGCGGCGGTCCCACTTGTATAAACTAAAAAAACTAGTTTGCCGGATCATGCTTGCTTGATATGTTAAACTCGAAAGTTTGTCAAATCGCAAACTTTTCCCGTTTTCTACTTCCACAGTGCATTTTTCGGTTTAGTCTGTTTGTTANTTATATAGCCATGCTAATAACACCATACATCTTGTTGACAGAAGAAGAAGAAGAAAAAAAACAGAAACATTTTTCATTTACAAACAATTCGTTTCCATGGAAACTTTCTTGTTATGAAAAATGAATTTCAAAATTCTTTGCGCCAAACAAAATAAAAAACTTTTAATTATGTGAATGAAAATTAAATTATAAGTTATCAATTGAAAATAAATTGATGATGTGTTCGATCAATTTGTTTTTTTTTTGATGTGTCAATCAACTGAACTTATCATTAATTTAGTTGATGATACTAAATAATAATGATGATGATGTGATTATCCACTGTGATTATCATCCAAATTTTTTTTTTGGTTTGAATGCTAAACACGTACATCAGTACTGAAACCAACAAAATAAAATTATGCAAATAAATTAGTCGAAAAAAAACTGGAACTTTATGGGGAAAAAAATATTTTTTAATTATATATTGCACAGAATGCTTTTTTGGATAAAATCGACAGCAAAACGAAAAAAAAATTGATGAAATAAATTATGTTTACATAAAAATAAAAAATATAAGAAAAAAAATACAATTGTAGATCCACAAAAAAAACAAAAAATCAACAGCAACAATAATCACTAAGCGTGTATGATATGTAAATGAATCAATTACAAAACAAAACAAAAAATGTCAAATATGTTTGCATTAATCTTCTAATAACATAAAAAAGTAAAACACTGGCTGGCTGAGACGAAACACTTTTTTCTATTTCAATGCGCATGCTCGAAAAATGGATGGCTTGCACTTTTTATTTATAAGGATCTTTTGATTTTTACATAAACAAATGGCTGGCTTGCATTGGACTTGGCCTTATGACTAAGCTAGACTTCGTCTACTTAGTAGACGAAGCCAATGGCCAATGGCTTGCAATGCTAGTAATCAAATAAATCAATAAATCAATGTTTTTGTTTATTTCACTAATAACTATCCATTTATTTATAAAAATAAATAAAAAAAATTATTATTATTATTATTTACTGATATTGCCAAGTTGTTTTAATCGTTTCATTGAAAGTCTTTTCAATCGACTAAATGAACTTATATTTGTTTCATTTAAATTACCACTTATTCCTGTAATACGTTCATCAATATCTGATGATAATTCACCATCACTATGTACTTGTCTTGATTGATCATTCATATTTGCTATTATATTTGGATTTGTTGTTATCATCGATGATCTTTCTTGATTTATTATTGTTGATCGTTGTAATGAATCATCAGATTCTTTTCGTTGAAAACGTTTTGAATAAGTACGATGAATTCGTGATAATTTTTTCAATGAATCACGAGTATTCATTTGTATTGAATAACGAGGATTTTGACGTAATAATGATGATGACATTTTCATCACAGTATTATCATTAGCCGTTATATCTGAATGATATTTTAATTCAAATTTTCCCTTATTTTTCCATTGTGTTTGTACATTATAAATATTTTCATCATCATCTAATACACGACGATAACTTACACAATTTTTATTCGATTTTTGTTCACTTGTCTGAGTATCAATAAAATTTTCAATCTCTTCAACAAGTACAAATTTTTTCGAATCTTCATTTCGATGTGCTTTATGTAATGCCTGTTGAATAATATCCTGTGCTGTACTGTTCACTAATGATTTCAATATTGTATATGGTTGATCTTTGCTAACATTATAGATACAAACTAAAAATGTTTCATTCTCATCTCGTTTGTTGTCTTCCCAATCACCGGAAATTTCCTTTTCAGATGAATGAGAATTTTCTTTATGCGCAGAAGCAGATCGAATTGTTGTCATCCACGCTCTTGTGCTTGGATCATCGGCTAATCTTTTTAGGATAAATTTTCCATCACCTTTCCAATTATTCTGTGCTTCTAATGGCCTTTCATTTGGATCAAGAATTCGTTGTGTTAATCCACTTCGATCACTTGGACGTGTTTTTTCCCAACCTTTGTCCACTTCTTCGAGCAGAACATAATCATTAACACTTTCGTTTGGTTTATTTGCTTTGGACAAAGCTTGCGAAATAACGTCATTAACAGTACTATCTTGTGTTATTTTTAGAATGGTCGATGATTCTTCAGGTATAACACCATGAACAACTAGAAAAAACATACGTCGTTTCACCGATGATGTACTAATTGGTTCGATTTTGGTCGAATCTAATTTATTCAAATCGATTTTCGACAATTTATTATTCTTAGACAATTGATCTAACGATGTATCTGATTGAATATCAAGACCTTCTTCTTCATAGCTTGAATATATGAACAATGTAGACAATGGTAAATTTTGATTCAAAACGTTTCTTAAACGCAAATGTCGATAACCTTGACGTAAACATTTCATTGGTAATGTAATTTGAGCAACCATTTGATTCATTGTTACATCAGTGACGGTTATTCGTAGAAAAACTAGATCGACAAATTTTACCTGCAATTCAGTTAATGAAAAAAAAATGATAATTGAATATTAATATTAATACAATGAATATATACCCGAAATCGAAAAGTGTCATTCCAAATAGGATTCAGCGAATTACGTTGTACAATTTTAGTTCGTTGTCTATTGCAATCAATCGGTATTCCAATTGTTTCTACTTCAACCTGTGGACTTCCTGTATTTGTATTTGGACAAACATATTGGCCAGATATTATCTGGTAAACATTAAAAATAAAATCCTGTTTAAGTTTTGTCTGATAAATTAAATATATGAACACATACTGTTATAGTTAAATTGATTGTATGTAAACCATCAAATTCTTTGTCCCATGGATTGAATCGACCATACATCATATGAGATTTATCGCGCATTACTCTTGATTTTAATACATATCCACATCCACCATTTTGTTCAAACATTGCCGAATTTATTTGAAGTGCTGTATCAACTGTTTGATAATTGAGCGCTACATTTTGTATACCAAATGCCCAAAATATAACCGGATTAAAATTGGAAGAATCAATTCGCATTCCAGTTGGATATGTTCTCATAATCTGGCTTTCCGTATGAGAAATAACTGTCAAAGGATTTTTTCGACACAATTTTTTCGCAGTATTTTCATTGATTGAAGCTACTTGATAACAAGGTGCTGTTGAATTTGGCCGTTTATTTAGTCCCCAATTTGTATTGGCACTTTGATAGGTTGGTGACAAATTATTCAGTTCTCTTGAGAAATCATCTTTTAATTTGATCGAATCAGATACTGACAAAAGATTTTGATTTGATTGAATGTTAACGTTCATTGTATTTGTAGACATAAGTTTACGTGACGTAATTTTTTTAGACACAGGCGTTGCCATTGTTGAATTTGTTGGACTAACACTTAAAGAAGCATTTTGTTCGGAACGAAGACCATGAAATTTTATTGCTTGACAATAAATGACTAAATCGGATAGTTCAGGCGCTATTTGACTACTCGATTTACGAGCCGATTTATTATGTAATGGAGAATTGAATATATTGTTATCACATTCGTTATGTGAAGAATCAGATCGATTTGATCTAACTTGTCGCTGACTTTTTGGTGTATCTTTCTCATTTGATACGTTTCGTTTTTCCGGTGATGTTTCAATGCTTGTCAAAAATGATATTGGTAATAATTCTTCAACATCTTCATCATCATCTTCATCATCATAATCATCATCTTCATCATCATTAAATGAACCTGTGCTTGTATTGCTCACTAAACTATTGGCTCGATCATTGATTGATTTACTATGCACTAAGCTTACTCGCATTCTTTGATTGGCTAAGTGTAATATTGGTGCTCGTAATTTTTTATTTTTAATCAAAATTCTATATTTTAAATGATTCGGTGATGGCAAACGTGGATCATCAACGTAATCGCTTTCAAAAAGAAATTTCGTGACTAGTTTTTCACCAAAAACAAGCATAAATATTTGTGCCATTCTTGCTTGTTGCTGTAATGAGCAATGATTTTCAACCGAAAGTATTACTGGATATGGTGATGCTACAAAAGCTTTTTCATTGATTGTTTCGACAACTTTTTTGAATGGTATTTTCGATGTTAATGTATGGCCATGATAGATAACTGGCATTCCATCATCACCATCCCAACAATCTAATTCAACACAACGGCAACCTGTTAAAAGAACTTGACTGTATAATTCGACAGAAGATTCTCCTTTTAATTGATGACCAGTCAGATAGGTATTATGACTTGTTGCACAATAATAATGTGACAGCGGATAGTTCATATCTTCTTCATTAGTTTGAATCAATTCGGGAGTATAGGCAAAATTATCTTTATCCATAAGATAACAAGCAAATCCTTCGAATGAAAAACAATGTCGTTTACGTAATAATACATTAGGCTCATGCATTTCTATTAAATTTTTAGCATCATCTATTGTGCTTGATTCAGATTGATAAGTAGTTAGAAATGAATGAAAATCATTGGCAGTTAAAATCGATGTATTCAATGAATCTATTCCAGCACTGTTAGTTACAATACTGGCTGCCGAAATTGCATCGAAAATACGATTCTTATAGTCGCTTGTTGAATGTATGTCTGAATTATTTCGTGTCAAAAGGCCGATAAATTTTCCTTTTTTATTATCCTTAGAAATCTCTTGGCTATTTTCGGCTAGAGATTCTTTTCGTGATGAATTACTTTCGATTTCTTTGATTGCATAAATATCGCCTATCATTCAAGCAAGAGAAAAAAATTAATCGTTTGAAAAAATAAACTCAAAAAAATTGACATACTTTTTGTTGCAATTTGTTCGAATATATCTTTGATGTCACGACGAATGCAAATATAAAATGATCGAAATAATTGAGAATATTCAGAAAAAGACAAATTAGCCGAATGTGTAATAACCGAACGATTTTCTACATTCCCATTAGTCGTCGCCGATGTTGTACGCATTTTTTGTGTAACTTTCAGTGATGCACTAAATGAATCTAAAAAGGTTGAAAAGTTACGTTTACAATATTTTTCTCGATATTGTGATGTTAGTTGTGTTGTATGAATTTGTGAAGGATGATAATTGCTGGCCAATGTATTACACCTTATAGGAATAGTATCGGATGTAACAAAATTATCATCAAAACTGCTTTGCGAATTGTTCATATTTTGATCAGATTCGGCATGAATTTGTGTCGATAAATTGGAAGATTTAAAATGATGTGTTGGTGTCGAATGATCACTACGACAATGATTTAAAAAAGTATCCGGTGATGAATTTATTGATAATTGTGATCGATTGCTCAATTCACGATTTACGGAAAAACTTGTTCCTGTTTTTTTCTTTCGATTTTTATTCATATTATTAAATCTATTCATTGACGAATCTGTTTGCAATGATTGATAGCTAGAACCCATTGTATCAATTGTCCATTTACGTCCACCAAACATTCGTATAGCTTCAGCAGGTGTTGGTCCTTTACAAACTGATTCTTCATAATATGCTTGAAGATATTTTTCTTTCAACCATGATATTCTTTGATCTGTTAATCGTTTTTGATTTTGTAATAATTTCAAAATACTTCTTAAACCTTCTGTCCATATTGATAATGTCATTTTCGGTGCTATGAATTCGGTTGTTCGATTATCACTAAGATTTTGACCAAATAACAATTTAATACTATAATTGTTATTCGGATCAGCAAATATTGAATCAATAAAACCATGACGTCTTCCAATCATTGGCAGATCGGCACTAGCTGATCTTATGAATACATCTTTTAAATACATTAAATCTAAGAATCCTTCTTCAAGACCAATTAATGCCGGTTCTTTAGTTTCATATTTTAATGAAATACCAGGCAGAATAAAATCCTCAATGTCATATGATAGCTGATAATCCTGTGGTGTATTATTACTTGATCTAAAAGTAGTGCTCCAAAAAGGTTTACACCATACAATCATAGAATTGCTTTGTTCGAGTTTAAGATAGACCACAGATGAACGACCACTATCTTCTTCATAATGAATTATTGTTGTACCATGATGCATTACCTGTAAAACATGATAATCAATCATTTGAGGATCGAATGGTATAAAACTAATTCCATGTGTTCGACGCATCGATTGTATAGGATTATAATAGTCTACATCAATCTGATAAAGATCTTCATTTTCTTTTCTAATTAACGATTTCGAATCAGCAGAATTTTTTTCGATTGCTGCATTCAATTTGATGTGACAAGAAGTGTCGTCTTCTTGGCTGTTGTTTATATTATCGCATTGTGTTTCGCTTGTGATGATTCCCAACATAGCTCGTTCATCGGATGTTTGATTTATTGTTGACAATAATTGATTTCGTCGAATTGAATGCACATGAAATGTTCGTAAATTGTCCATAACTTGATGAGCTTTATACATTTTTTCCATGTTAATAATGCCTCCAACACCGATGCGTGACATATAATTATTATCACCATTGAAATCGGAAATTGTTTCAATTCTTGGTTGATTTTGACTGGATTCAATTGAATCACGATAAATGTTAGCATTTTCATTGGACAAAACGATCAGGCTTGGTACACGTTTCAAGATATTTTTTAGATCATGTAGAAAAGCTCCAAAAAATGGAATCACTTGTGAATGTGGAATGTCCAATGCTTTTATAACGGCTATTTTATACTCATCTGATGGTTCATTCAACGTGAGTAAAATTTTTGATAATTCATTGAATAAATGAAGATCATCTTTTTGTTCAATTGACAACCAAAAAGGTTTCAATTTTTCTGATCTGAAAAATAAAAATGAAAAATTTAATTATTATATTTCAAAAATGTTTTTTCAAACAATTTTATTAGGCCTAGTTTTTCTTTTAAAAAAATATAAATATATTATTACTTTAATCCTGCTAGTATTTCAACGGCTGAATTGAAATTTCCCAAATTCCAACATGTTTGTACCACTCTCATTATACTTGACAAAAATGCTTTTCTAAATTTTTTTTTTAAAAAGAAAATTAAATTTCATTTCATTTTTTCTTAAAGTTTTTTTTTCTTTGTTCACCTCATTTCATGTGTTGGTTGTGAAATTATAAGTTGTGTGATCCAGGAAGACACCTCATGAAAACGTTCAATCAGATCTTCAACGGTAAAAGCTGTTCGTACACCACCAACATTGTCAACTGATTGTTTGTTTTGTTGTGATTCATCATCTTCACCGGTACTAGAAATTCGAGTGCTAAGATCTAATGTCACTAATGTTGCCAAACATTGCAAACAAAAAAAGTAAATGATTGAAAAAAATGGTGCCAAATATAAGTATAACAAAAGAAAAAAGGAAAAACAAACCTTGTCGAATATAATGAACTGGTTGAATATTATAGAATAAATCATATTCAACTTGAGCAAGACAAAGGGCCACTTCTTCAGGAAAATGTAAAATTGATTCCAAACCTAATAGTTCATCACGAAAACGCCTTTTTTGTTTGCTATCTGAAACATTGCCATTGTCTATTGCCATTGAATTGTTATTGTTGTTTAATTTGGAATTATCTTTTTTCGTTTTGTTTCCATTGTTGAAAAGTTGTTTATTGAAAAAAAAATAGATTAGTAAAACAAAAACATAATTATAAATTAGATTAGAGTATAGAATTATTGGGATCGACTATATGACGATGACAACAAAAAAAAAGAAAAATAAATAAATAACGAGATAACGAAACAAAAACAAATCATGATTAATTGGAAAATTCGACATACATTCACAGTTAATCACATTTAATCAGGGCTCATTCTCGTTATTTTCTTGTTTCTTTTTTACTCTAACAACAAACAACGACAAAAAACTATTTTCATACCTTTGTTGATATTATTCTTGGAACAGTACCGTGATTCATTCGCTATCAATGCATCTAAAAAGGATGAATCAACGCTTTGCAATATTTCCCATAGAACAGTTCCAATAGCACGTAAACTATTATGTGATGATGTAATGAATGACCATTGTGTACCACGAAATTCTAACACTAAACGATCATGTGATCGTCCACCACCAGTACGCCATTGTTGTAAATTATTTGTCGGTTGTGCTTTAGCCAATTGTAATGTATTACAATCAAGTAGTACGATACGTTCCAAACAGATGCCCAATAATCGTGTTGCACGTCTATTTGTACGGCCATGAAGTAATTCTTTAACTTGAAATAATTGACAACCATATGCGGGTAAACGTTTACAAGTTTGTATATAAAGTTTTTTCAACTGTTGTTCACTTTCATAAACTGATGTATGAAATAATTTACGCTTCTGTTCCTATTTTTTTATTCAACCAGAAAAAAAACGGAAAGAAATGAGACATGAAAACAGAGAATACCGAAAAATGATGCAAAAATTAATGAGAAAAAATTTCCCGAAAAAAATAGTGCAAGAATAATGAATATAAAAGTGAAAAGTGAAAACGGAAGGACAATCCAAATGATGAAAATCGAGACAAATGATTAATTTATTTTCAACCATAGTGAATATAATCTTTTCTTTTCTTTTTGGCACTGAAAGTTGATGACAAAGAGAATGTGCAAAGCACTGTTTTTTTTTGGCAAGATAAATATTAATAATGTTTAATGTTTTTTTTCTATCTTCACATCAATTCAACACCATAGACCGGAAAAATGAATGGATGCCATTCTCCATTTGATTTGAAATGGGAAATAGTTTTGATTTTCATCGACTATTTTACTATCATCCAGAAAAGAAACTATCATTATTCATTTGAAAAACATTCAGTGATTTATTCATTCAGGATTCATATATATATTTAGATAATTTTTTTCACCTCCCCACAAAATTATAATATGACTAACTTACTCTTATTGTTTTGGCAATATTTTTACTACTTTGATAGATTGGTGGTAAATATCGTCGAGCATCGATTGAACTAAAATTATAATCAGTATCATTCCAATTGGCTGACATCCATTGAAGTATGCGATTTGCCGTTTTAGTTGAAAATGTTTGTAAAATATTGCTGCTGTTGCTACTGCTGCTGTTATTATTAGCATTATTATATTGAATACGGTTTATCTGGTTAAATTTAAAAATCGAATCATTGGTTTTATTGGCTGTGGTGTTACTAAGAATTTTATGATTATCTTCTTCTTCATCATTTTCATCAAACGATGAAGACATTGCTGATGATGATGATTGAACTGCCGTTGTTCCAGTTTTTGTTATTGTTGTTGTACCACGAAACAATTTACCCGAAAGATTTTCCTGCAATCAATATAATGATTTGTTTCAAGTTTCTAATTTTTTTTCATTTTATTTTGTTCAAAACAAAACTTACCTTTACATTTTCACTGATAGGTCGTAATTTTTCACCCAATACAGATGTCGATTTGTTCAACATTGATGATGAAGATTGTGCAATAATATCTTCATGTGGATGATGATGATGATGATGATCTGATTCATTATCGATCACTGTTGCTTTGTTTGTCGGTGGTGATGTTTCATCAATACGTAATTGAATAACAGCCAAAGTGACCGCTTCTTCTTTCGAACATGGCAATTGTCCACTAAGAATAAGTTTTTGAAGCTATGAAGTCAAGATTTGTAACAAACAAACAAAAAATTGCATAATAGAAACAAACATTTTAAAATAACGAAGACTGTAATATTCACTGTTTTTAGTAATGAACGAAAAGTTTCATTTTATTTTATAATTAACTAACACGAACAACAATAATGTAATAAAACTTTGAAACTAGAAAAAAAATCTCGGTGTGAATGTTTTGAAAACAATTTAAAAAAAAATCAAATAGATAATTTGCAGTAAAGGACAATAGGCGATTTTCGTTTTTACCGAATGAATTGTCCAATACACAATGTCGGTTTAATGATTGAATGCAAGCGTTTTTTGTTTTTTTTCCATTGGTCAAACCCTTGATTAAGATATTATCGGCACCATCATCTATTTCGATATATTAAAGATAAATTCAACAAATATCTGCACTGTATGAATCGAAGCGTTGATGAAAATGAAACATTGATGTGGCCAAATAATATAAAAATATGGTTGGTCCAAAAGGCGGCGGCGTTGATTTTTTTTTCATTCTTCAAAACGACAGGCGTCATTTTGTTTCAACCATCATCATCTTCATATTTTTATGAAGCATACATTTTTATATTATAACATCGATCGTATATAATATATGATTGTTTATGTATTCTTGTTTTCATTTTGTTAATATTATTATTGTCGTTTTCGTTGTAGTCGATACGGAAAAAGAAAGAAAGAAAGAAATAGAATGTAATATGTGACTGTGTGTGTGTGTGTTGACTGTTGTTCATCATATATCCATCAATAATCTAGCTTAAACGTTTTATATAATTCACAACAATTGATCATTTTATTTTCGAGATTAAGGGCCGTTAGTCGTAATATTTTTATTATAAATAACCAATCAACCATCATCATCATCATCATTATCATCTGGCAAAGAGAGGCCAATATCAAAAAAAAAATATTCCAATTCTCATCCACTCAATCTTTCATTATTCATAATAGAGAAATTGGAATTTTTTTCCCTTGTTATAAATATATATTCTATCATCGGAAAACATTAAACAGAACACACACACACACAGAAAAACATTCGATGGATAATAAATGAGGATGACTTGTGAAAGCTAATCAATTAGTGATTTGAAATGATGGAAAAAACCCCAAAACAAAATAACAACTATGTAACAACTGTGTGTGTGTGTAAAATTAAAATAAGGAATGAAAAATGTTTTTGATCATCATCATCATCATTTTTTTCTCGATATTCTTCAGGGAAATGTGATGGATATGATGATATTATCATTTTCATTATAATATTTATTATTATGGTTTACAAGGTGAAAAAAGAAATGGGTATTTTTGCTGAACATTTATTCTGTCTATTCTTACCATAATGAATGTGTCTCTTGTTGTGTGTATTTATATGGTGATGATAAAAAAAAATGAATAAATTTTTCTTGTCATGACGACAAGTATTTTTTTTCTTCTTCCAAATGTATATTTGGAATGAAAAAAAATTTTCTTATATACATTAATATTGCGTGAAGAAAAATAGAAGAAAATTCATTCATATTACACATATAGGTTATTGGTTATTTCTTTGGATTTTGGTAGGAATAATAATAATAATAATAAAATGTATAAAGTTGAAAGAAAAGAATTTTATTTTAGTCAAAAAAAATGAATTCATATAGTTTTTTTTTTGTTTTGTTTAGTACATTCACTTTTGTGAATGTGTGAAGAGAAAGAGAAAAAAAAATTTCAAGAAAATAGAATAGCGAATTCTTTCGGGTGATTTGGAACCCATCATTTTTTTAAAAAATAATAATAAATAGAAAAAAAATTTATTGACATTTACACTTATTTAGAATTTATTTTTGTGCCTATTGATTTTTGTTGTTGTAGATATTGTGTTGACAAAGAAATAACCATCAGTAAATATCAAAATAATGAAGAACACTTTTTCCTTGTCTTCATTTCGATTCAACTAAATTATTAAATTGAAAAAAACACTTACCCTTTCATAATCTTTGTTAATTTGTTCATCCACAGATGGCGTCTCTGTAAGTGTTTCCGATTCCTTTTTAAATAAAAATAAAGTCATTATGATGTGTATAATATGTAAAATAGTTACATTAATAATTGCTTGATAACGAATCTCTTCACAAAACCAACGATATTGTTCACCCATAGCCGATACTCGATTTAGAAATTCTATGAATTCACGTCGAAAAGCAGATTGTTGAAAATCATCTGGACAAATATTGATCCAATCGATAATCAATTTCATTATTGCTTTGTGTATGTTGGGCATAATCCATTCGTTGATAACCTGACCAGTTGAACCGGATCGTGAACCTGTTTTTGTTGAAACCGTACGATGTGAACTACATCCACAAGAATTAGGACTTTCGCTAAGATTTTTAAACGAATGTTTTAATGGCGATAAGTTTGGGCTTGTTTGATCTAAATGTTTGCAAAAAATAATAGAATAAAAAAATAGAAAATTGTTTTATTCATTGTTCATACAAGAATCATAAACAATTACTGAAATTGAATATCTGATTATTGGAACGATTATCGATGGCAGCATTTTGTGAACTTTTACAATATGCGCTCATTCTCGATGATGATGATGTTGAAGATGGCAGCTGGTTATTCTTCTCTTGCTGTTGTTGCGTTTGGATAATCGGATTTTTAGGCAAATGAAGAAGAACGGTAGGAAAATTTTCTAATGTTATTCTTGGAACACTTCGTGATCGTGGTCGTATGAATTGATTACCTACATTTTCAAATGTTTCTCTAGCGATATTCGCTACCGGATCATTAACGGTAGAATTTTGATTCAAATTTTCACAAAGTACAGGAGATTTTGGTAAATTTTGTAATTCGCGTTGAAAAGATATTATATATGCTTCTTCAGCATCAGAATTATCGATTGAATTATTTGGATTGGAATTAGCTCCATCAATGGAAAATGTATGATGATTTTTATTCACTTGTTTATGTTGCTGAAGAAACAATGTATCCAACTCATTGACATGCGATTGCTGTTCGATCAATGATACGGGTTGTATTGACGATCGTTGTATTGATAGCCTATGTGCGGTTGTTATACTATTGTTACGGCTTGTCGTTGATAAGCAATCCGACATTGAACATTTTGTTCCCAGTGGAAATGAGTTTTGTGGTGTTAATCGATAATTATCTGTAAGACCTGGATATAGAGACGTCATTAAAAATCAACATGAAATCAATTATATTAAATCTTATCAATACTAGCCTTTTGCTGACATTCTTCTTTCAAAATCGATTCTACCAGGCGATAGACTAGAATTGGAACAATGCCAATCAATATTTTGTTTAAGGTTAGGAAAATTACAATTGCTAGCATTGGAATTGGTTCGTGAACGATAACATTCATATGAACTTGCTGCCGATGAAGCAACGCTAGCACGAGATTGTAATGTCCAATAAGAAATTGCACCAAACATTCGATGTTGAAGTACTCTTAATAAAATTATCGGTTGTAATGTCATTGGTAATGTGGATAAATAAAAGAAACAATTAGGATAATTCGTAAAATGATGATTAGTGATTAGACCGGAAGGCATATCAACTTGAATAGCTGGTGGGCATGTATCTTTCATGTTATTGTTTGTCATTCCATCAATGAAACAATTCATTGTTTCATCATTCAATGGATCTAAACAAAGACTATCTTCTCCATTGATTAATTTATCCTAAAATAAAATGATAATAAAATACAACCACACATAACAAATATATTATTAGTGAAAATTAAATATTTTTCTGCTTTTTTTTGGAACAACTTATATTACTTCAATTTTTTTTATAAGATCAACCACGATATTTTCCACCGAACACCCTATCAAAATTGGTGGAGTTGTTCCGGAAAAAACGACGCTCGGAGCTATTGACGTTTGTATTATGTAACTATCTTCGGCTGAATTGTTTGAAGGTGAATGCCAACTAAGATCATCTGAATTTAAAACAAAATGTATGTTTGATAATCGATTATTAAATAGCCTCAAGCGTACTGAAATTGAATTGAATTACCCATCAAATCAAATAAATAAACTTTGTTCCTTAATCGTTTCTCAAGACCAAGGTAAACCATTATTCGTGCGGCTTGATGTTTAACAAATTTTGCATATTTTGTACTGTGATTTGTATAAAACCATTCATCTGATGGCAATATTAACTGCATTAATGTATCAGCAATATTAGCATCAATCAAACGTTGATGATTATTCGGATTGATAGAAATATTTGCTATTGTTTGTAATGTCAAACAAATCAATTGTGGATCATTGGTAGAATCGATCGATGAGATAAGAACTTTGAATGGACCTTCTTCAATCAATCGTTTTTGGGCATCATCATTTTGACTTGTATATAATATAGCACGCGCCGAAAGTATTTGAAGACAATGATATAAACAATTGCGACATCTGTGATGAAATATTGAAATATTTTTTTCAGTTTTTTTTCTTATTATTATTTTAAAATATTTTCTTTTCATAACCAATTCTTTTTACCTTTTACTTGGGATGCATAATTGTTTTGATTCGGAAAAACGTTTATGTAATGTAATAGCATTATTTAACACATTGAGCAAAAGATCTAATCCTTTATGAGACAAAATAGTGATAAATGTTTGAACATTAAAGCTTTTAACGGTATTATCATCCAAGTATCTTTCTTTTTCATTATTGTTTGTGCTATGGATTTTGTTGTTATTTTTTCGATTCAAATATTGTTGAAAATTTGTATCATCACTAGCATTAGCTGTTGTTGTTGTTTTTGTTGGTACAGTTTTGAATTTTTCGGAAATGATTCGAAATCTTTTTTGTTTTTGTTCGACTTTTGGCGATCGATAAACATTTTTGACCCAGAACATCAATTTTTTTGTCTCGAAGCTGAAATTCACGAGGAAACAACAGCAAAAAAAAATCAAAATCAACAAAGAATTAAAAAAAAATATAATACGATAATTCGATTTCAAAATTTATTTCACAAGCATTAAATGAACTGCTCACTTTTGTATGACGTTCGAAGATGATGATGATGATGATTGTTCAATGGAATCTTTTTCTATTTCTAATTCTATCGGATGGCTTTTGTCATGTTTTTTATCGTTATTGCTAGGACTTTTCTGTCCGATTCGAAATGATTCATGAAGACGTAAATGTTTGATATGTTTGCTAAATTGTAACGCTGACGATGTGTGTTTGTTATCATTTTCCATAGGTTCTTCATGGCTAAATATTGAAGTCGATTTTTTCGATTCTTTTTCCCTACTTTGTACATTGTGTTCATAAATCTGTTCAAAATCAAGTTGCGAATCAAAAGTTTCGTACCGGACAAAAGCATCAATAATTTTATTGATTATCAATAATGAAGTGTATTGAAATGTTTGCCCACTTTTCAGGCAATGAAATGCACAATCGATAAGGTCACACAATTGACTTGCCAATTGCTGTTTTAATCGAACAATCCTAATGATCTCAATTTCATTCGTATAATTTATTTGTTCGTAATGAGTTCCACATGGATCGAAATTTCGATTAGGATGATTCTGTTTATTGTAAAAAATCTTCTTTTTTTCCATGGAAAAATTTTCTATGATTGTCTAATCGTACAACAGTGAATTAATTACTGAATCTCCCTTGAATGTATGCTTACCTGTAATGCTTTTTGTAAAAGTTTAGAAAAACTATCATGCAGTATGGATAAAATATTTTGTTGTTCATTCATTGAAACTATTTCGGGCAAATATTTTTGAAGACAACAGATAATCTTCGGTATACATTCAATATTTGATGCCATTTTATATAATGTTTCGATTGCATCCTGTAATCGTTTGGTATTTATTTTTTCGTTATTCTTATTTTCATCTAATTTTCAACGATCATAATACTATTCGATAATACTAATGTAATAACAATGTAAATATTTTCATACCTTGTGTAGTTGTACGACTTAACAAAGTTCGAGCAATTTTCAATTGATTTTTGGCATTATCCTCACCGCTACGTCGTCGTCCAAACAGATAACGTGCCCCAAAACTTGTATGTGTATGAGGATGATGATTAGTTGAAGTCTGTGGTTGATTATTATCATTGTTATTATTGCCAGACAATTGTAATGTTGATTGTGACAACTGTTTACAAAATTGTGTAATTGGAAAATGTAAATAGAAACAAATCATTTTTAACAATTTTCAATTATTATTAATGTCAATTAGATAAACTTACATTCTGTAAGGATTTCAATGCAGAAGTTTTATCGCTTTGTGAATCGATTGCAAAACTTCGTTTATGACCAATAGAACCGGGTGATGTTGGCAAGAATAACGTGGAATTAGAAGTGGCACTATTTGTTATGCTCTTTCTTTGTACATTTTTTGGCGGTGCTTCCGTAGGTGATTTATCCTCTTGGCTTAAAGTAGTTGTATCTTTACTGGATTGTTTGATTGTGAATGGAAAATTTTTCCGTTTAATTTCATTGTTCATAATTTTTGTCTCGAAAAATTTTGCAAGATTTGTTCCATTCGTATAAGAATCGGTGCTATTTTCCTTGAAAAATGCTAAATTGTTGACTGCTTTGATTGGAATCGTTTTTGATTGTTTTCTATGTTTAATAAACGGAACAGAATCTCGCCTACTATCAGTAGTTGATCGTAACAATAACTGTTCGAAAGATTCATCTATGATGGCCGTTTGCATTTGTATAATTTCATGAGCAAATGTTTCATCAACCAAATCAATCGGGGCAACATTTTTATTATTTTTTGTTTTCAATTTAGCTCCAGAATGAATAAGCAATTGTAAACAAGATCTAGAAATATGTTGTTGACAAAGACATAAATGTAACGGTGTCACGCCATGGCCATCCATTAAGTTTACATTTGCTCCATAGGCGATTAGTTCACGAAGAATTACCGAATTATTCAATGCAACAGCTAAAAATATTGGAGGCAATGTGAACAATTTCTCTCTAGTATATTCTTCATCATAAGTTATTCTAGTTCCATCTGAACAAACATGAACAGTTTTTTTATCAGTCGATATTTCTGAACGGATTTGTATTATTTTGGCACTTTTGGTTGACGACCGGCGACTATTTAAATTGTATGGCTCACTACTTATAGAATATTGATTAGATTGCATTGATTGAATCGATGGTATTTTCGGTGTGTTAACTATATTTGGATTTAATAGCAATGGTAAATTAGCCGATCTAATGGATGGTGAACGTATTAATGGCTCACAGCTTGTTGATGGAATATTTTCAAAATTTGAATATGGCAAATGGTCCTGACTATCTACACTGGTGTTTCTTGATCGTCGAAAACATTCTGTCTGATAGCAAGTTTTACCAGGATTATTCGGATCGATTCGATGTTTTAATAAAAATAAAAAGACATCATAAGCATTATTTTCGATTGCTAGATGAAGTGCAGTAGAAAACAAATAACTATTATCGCCATCTTCTATGGAACTGGAAAGGCCATGAAAATAATTTTGTTCATCAATAGCGAACTGTGTTTTCAATACAGGTCTTTCAATTTTTTCATCTTTCGACAATGATAAGGATTTTTTTGCTGTCAAATTTGTTTTATCTAGTGATTCATTTTTGCCATCATCATCACTATAGTAGTGTTCAAAAATTTTCGAAACCAATTTCACATCATTATGGCGAATTGCTTTTTCCAATAATTGTTCCGTTTCATAATTTATATCATTGATAGAAGATGCTTGACTATTATGTCTTGATATTGATAAAATAGAAGCCATATGTGAATAGTTTACCCCTATATTGTAGTTCGTGAAGAAAAATAAATAAAAATAATTTCAACAGAACAATGACGCATTTGTTTGATTGCAACAATAATAATGGTTTACCTGTATTGACGCTCAACGCGGACAATGATTGTGGCTTTCCGTTCTCGATTTTTGGCTGATCAGAAAAATGTTGTTCATCTGTTTCTATTGCTATACGTGTGTTTGTTGAACCGACCAATGAGATCGACAATTCTGGTGGTGCTTTACATTCATCTACTGATTGTGTACTAATTTTTATTTTAGATTCATTCTTTTCACTATATTTTTGTTTGTCCATTTTGTTTACGATAAAAAAAATTTGATCAGAATCGTAAATAATTATACAGATTCTTAATTTAATGACCAACGATGATGATGATAATGTCCGTGATTGTGATGGTAATGAAAACGTCAACGGTAACAATATTTGTCGGTAAAGATGACATTTGTTGAAATCATTTTTATCAACAATAAAAAATTGATTTTTTTTATATGATCGATGCATTAGAACAATGATAGTCATCTGTCAGGAATTTATTTCGAACAACAACCAAAAAAAAAGAATAAGGAAAACATTCAGTTCAAATTTCATAAAACAATTTGTTGAAAAGATGATGCAAAAGAAAAATTCTTCGACAAAATATTTCCTCAATAATCCATTTATAGACCATCAATTTTTGGCATTTAAGCAAAGAAAAAAAACGATAAGAACATAAAAGTTTTCAAAAAAAAATAAACATTAAAATTCTGTTGGTTTATTGGATTTATTTTTGTATTTTTGGATAATACGTTTTATTTGTAAAAAAGCAAGTTTCAAACAATTTCTGACAAATCACAATTCTCTTATCTCATTTGACCTCACCCTACACATGAATGAAATTAATGACTACTAAAAATCATATTATTATTTTTTTTACTTTATTTTTATTTATAATTTTATAATTGAATAAAAGTTTATTATTTGAATGACTATTTTTTTCAAAAAAGGAAGATATTAATTCATTAAATTATTTGTTTCAATATTTATGACCTTTTATGTATACGAATATTCTTTTATGTCTATTCTTTTATTGTGTTCAATATTTAGTCATTGTCGGGGTCTTTATTTATCTTTCTTTTTTCTTTCTCCATTCTTATGTTTCTTATTTAATCAATATCGACCAGAATCGATTTTAAATGTCCTAGTTTTTCGTTTTTTTGTTTGTTAAATTTTATTCTAAGATAGAATATGATTAAATGAAATGCCTGGTCTAACCGATAAAGGTAATGAGAATAAAAAAAATCGACCATCTTCAATTTTGTTACGTGTACTTTTTTTTCTATATTTGTATGTGTGTATATGCAATGTTTGATGATAAAAATACTGTAATGCAAATCGAAAATACATATGAAAAGTAAAAAATTATTGGTTAAAAAAAAAATATAGTAAACAAAACAATATAAT